CAATTTGCGATGAACGTGCTTCATTTTTATGAAATGACAACAGTCATCTATATGGTTGTGATCATTTTTCGGAGATATGAATGATTGATATAATTTTATTATGTTCAACAGCCATTCGATTGATCCTATATAATGAGTCGCGTAATGCAGGATCAAAAATTCCATCATATCAGCTTACAATAACTGTGAAATATACAGAGCTCCTCTTGACAGTTAAGTGAATTGAGTAAAAAGGAGGAAAAGGCAGTTCCGCTTGGGGCAGTAATCGCAACTAATCTAACTATTTAATATTAGAGTATTATTTTGCCTAATAATTGGCTAATAAGTTTTTATTTATTCTATCTCAAGAACAACCACATCTCCGATTTTTCGAAATTTGTTCCATTGGCTCCTTCGAAACTCAAAAATCATAAAGTAAGTGAAGGAAGATTCATATGAAGGCCTATAAAGCATATTAGTCAATGTCGTGCACACATATTTGAAAAGTTCTGATTTTGGATTTGTCCAAATGCGACTCTTCACTTAATGTGAAGACATTTTGATGCTATCACCCCGAAATTATTTTTAACCCTGTTTAAGACGTACGCGCGCCCACACTTGGAGGTTCACAACGTTATCGCACCCCCTCTGCTCAAAAGAGACATAAATCTCTTGGATCGAGTGCAGAGACGAGCAACGAAATGGGTGATAGGGTTGAAAAATAAACCCTACGACGATAGACTCCAGCTCTTGGGATTATTCCCACTGAGCTACAGGAGAATCAGAGGTGATCTGATTATGGCGTACACCAAACCATCCCAATGTGAGCATCTTACCGATGCATCCCCACCACTCCCCTCGAGGCAATCCTCGAGAGATTGCACATCAAAGAGCAAATACTCAGATTCGTGCACACTTTTTCTCATTGCGAGTCGTCGCAACTTGGAATGCTTTCCCAGCCGAGGTAATCACAGCCCTCTCAGTGGACTGCTTTAGGAAGCGACTTGATAATCACGTACTCACATACGGACTATCATCTCCCTCTTGGACGAGCTGTTCATGATGCATATCTTGAGACCTGCCAATTGTTACCATTGACATCTTCTCAGATCACTCAATTAATCTATCCCGCCTAATCTCTGTTTCTTCTCCCTTGTTTACACTTCAGTCCTCTCTCACAATCCTCACTACTAATTAACAAACTAAATTGATCTATATATTACTCAGTTCTGAAATTTTATTCATATTATCATTTTAATTTTATCCTTATTACTCTTATTAATCTCCACATTGCAACTAACTGATCTCCGGTTTGGTAATGTGACGGCTGCTAGTATCCAGAAACCCTACTGCCCTGAAGCAAACGTTTCATTCAAATCCTGAGACACACAAACTCACAACCAACTGCCAACTGACTAGAATTAGACAGTCGAGTGGCTAGACCTCCATTCATTGGACATTACCAAACACCTGGAACCGTACCGAGAGAACGAGAATCGAGAGCGAAGAAATCAAATTGGTTTACACTGGCTCGCGAAAAAGATTTTGGATATTGTAGTTCGAACGGTACCTTGGAGACAGTCTTGCGGTTTTTCAAAATAGCTATTCCGTAACTCATTAAAAACCTTGAATCACTCACTCTCAGTTTCAGTAACTAAACTGCCATAATCTTGCATTTATATTAGCGAACTTTATTTGCAGTTTCTTTAATCATTACATAAACGTGAGCTTCATGTGTTTACTCAGTTTTTGATTCATCTTATCTTATAAGGGAAAAAGAATAATTATTCCTTTCTTTTTTAGATTTGCATACACGCTTCTTTGCATAATCTCCCATCAAGCAAGATACTTTCAAGTTAGGCGCAAACCTACCAAGGGATGGATGTCCAAATTCACAACATCAGTCCGAGCAAACCTGATTTCATTGACTGGTTAGGGGTCAGAATAAAGCCATCTGTCGTTATTTTTAAAGATATTCTTGATAATATAAACTACACAAACCAGATATCAGTACAGAATGTTGGCTCATCGACAAAAATTATTCGTCTTTACCCTCCTCGTACCGAAGTAAAAAAATAAAATATTTTGATATTCACTTAGACGATCGAGATCGCTGACAGTCACCAGACCCTGTCTTTAGTTCCAGGAATGATTCATACATCCACTATTACGCTCAAAGTTTCTGAAGCGAAAGAAGCTAAAGAATTTGTCGTTGTAACTGTTGGTGGGAATCCTTGCCAGATTCCTGTTTTCATGTTGGTTTTATTATCCTGTACCTATTAATATAACTGACAGATTTCCACCTAAGCCTCTTTGGATTATTCCACAATCACTTAGCTTTGGTGTTCTTGTGCAGGAAAACAAAGTGATAACAAAAACATTAACAGTGAAAAATGAGGGCTCTCAAAATGGGAAATTTCGGATTATGAATATATCTGATTTATCTATTGATATTATCCCCCGATCCGGTATAGTTCAATCCCGTTCTCATATCGATTTGAAAGTTGTTTGATTATATTGTTGGTGTAATACTTTTATACTAGGTAACTTTCATACCAAAAGACACTTGTGAATTCGTTGAAGTCGTCAGGTTTGAAATAGTATAAATAGTTAACTGCTTTTCATACAGAATAGATATTGGAGAAGGTGAACTTTTTGACGTCGAAGTTACTGGTAAAGTAATAAAACCAGAATTTAAAGTTCTCTACATTGCAAACCGTGAAGACCATAAAGGCATGTTAATTTGGTACTTGATATAAATTTCTTGTTTAGGTGAGGAAGCAATACAAATAAGTCATTGGAACTTCGGTTCTGTTTATTACAACACTAATGTGTTTTGCAGTTGGCATCTGGTAAATCACTCACCAAAGGATACATCATTTGTTGCAAGATTTCACGGCAAAAATGATTCTGTGAGTTCTGACGTAACTTTCTAGTACATTGTACTTATTACTGTGATGTTTTAAACGATCACTCTTCTTGTGAAGTTAGTAGTCATGAAAAAAATTTTGCATAGGTGAAATGATTTAAGAAAACACTGTAAACTCACGGAAATATTTCTAGGTAACAGAGAATCTTAGAATTTAATGGGTAACAGAATGAGTTCATTTGCACCGTTGTTAATGATTTTGGTATAATTAACCCGTAGTCTCTGACCATTTATTTCGACGATCACCTGTACTTCAAACAAGCATTCCCCATCAACCTATAAGACTCAGTTTAAAAGCTAGTGCCTGACAACTCTTCTTGGTTATGCCATCCCCAGATTTATTAAAATCTACCTTCGCTCCTGCGAACACTGCACATCCAGTTGAGCTGTAGTTTGATATTCATGTGTGGAAATCCAGCACTTTGTGGGGGTAAACATTCGGTATCTTCCAAAATTTTATATACTGCTCGTCCTGCTGACCGTTACTGTAAAACAAGCGAGTCGTTGCCACAATTTATTATTCAAAATATATCATGATTGATACAATTATCGAACTTATTACAAATATAAAATAGTCGATATTTTTATCGAATCATTCAAACAGTTATTCAATAAAGCTAGCTGGATGATTATGTGCGTGGGCGGTGAGTAATGCCCAAGTATATATGCGCATACAGGCTAAACGATAATGGCAGTACAAAACGTATGTGAGATACTACGATGGTCTCCCACCAGTCAACAGAGATACAAAATAAAGATAACACCTTTCTTTAACAGGTACTCTGTATCTAATCTTAACCTTCCTTATCCGGTGGTCCCAACATAAACAGGCATTGATTTGAAAAAAAATATGGTAGAAAATCTGCACTTAGCTCACGTTTACTACTTTTGAAGACTACATTCCAAAGCAATATATGACAAAAAAGTAGAATATTGGGTATTCGAATCATTTTTTGGTGGACAGACCGATATCTTTCCTACGTCACTGGTAACATAAACTAGCAAAAGCCAACCAAATTTCCGGAATTTGATCTGATATCTTGTCACAAAACAAACACACCAGGGTTAATATGACTTCCAAGTGAAGTAGCTGATGCTTACAATTACTTCACGTCCTAACATCGTTTAGTCCTTGACGCAGACCAGTTCCGAAGTAACACTTTGCGCCTGAAGGAAAAGAAACTCACTTCAAATATTCTAGCATTGTTACTCGAATGAAAGAGAAGACTTTAATTTCTTAACGTCTTTGCCAAGAACAACCATATCATCAACCTTATAATATTATGGATCAGCAAGTTCGTTTCGTGTTAGGAAACTAATTACTAAAAATTTAAACGGTTAGAATACCATATTGAAAAGCATGTATGTGACCAAACGAAATGAAAGTGATGAAAAGCAACTCTGGATGTCGTCGTATGTCAAGAAGTAGAACTGTATTTACAAGTTATTAGATAATTCGACTGCCCAGAACCTGGCGAAGGGCGGATTTTGATTTACACACCTACCTTCAGTAGATCTTGAGTGGAACCTTTTTGAACCATTCCATTTAGCAACATTTAGAGGAGAAATATTTCGAACGAGAACATTACTTTTGTTCAAAACAGTGGTTCACTTTGATAAATTTGAATAGAGAAATAAGAAGACATATTTTGTGAGATAGTACCATTTCATGCTTTCTCGTCAGTCACATACAAGCAACATGTTATTTGTGTAAATACAGTTTTGAAGATAAGGTCAAGATTTCTTATTAAGCATGACATTCACTCACTAGAACCATGGTAAACAAAGGTCAACATACAATTGTTTGTTGTTACTTTTGTATCAGGTTAAATGAAATCAACTAAAAACAATGCGGAAAAGAGAATGATAAGTAGATCGAAGGTCATGAAATACAAAACTCTTGTGATATTAGATATAATATCCTTCCATGTCTGTGTTATATGCATATAAATTACACTTAGAATGTGAACCCCGAATTGGGGAGATACTGATAGTTGACGGCCATGAGCCAACCGTATTACATGTCATGGGGATTTCATTATAGATTCGACTGGATAACACGGAAGTATCAATCAGAACACAGTCGTTGTTAATGAATATGGTGTATTTCGATGATAATCAAACACCAAAAGTGATTGTTTACAAATGTTATAATAGACGATTTGTATCACTTTGTAAGTGATTGTAAGATGTTAGAAAAATATGATACTTCATTAAAAATCATCTACCAACAAGTTCTTCTATAATTCCTCTTTTTTCAAATTACATAAAAACGTTTTACATGATTCATCAGCGTTAAAAAGTTGTGACAGTGTCTGTTTCTGTTCCATGAAAGTTATCCCAAAAACTTTGAACGCTTTTTAGGATTTCCTGCCGCCATGTAAAGCAATATACTTATTTTAACTGAGTAAATTTTGTGATCTCCGTTTGATTTCTAATGAAATAATTGGATTTTAGCTTAGTCACAATTTCTTAAATATATACTGCATCAGTTGATCTCGACAACTATACAAACAGATTAAGAAATAGAAAAGTAGAACACTAAATAATCGTATCTTGTTGTCATTTCAATGGTTATCATTAATTCTGGCTTGCAAATGATCGGCACCTTGATTATCTTAAAGACTTACGAAATTATTTTTTATAACGATGATTTTGTACTCTAGTAAGCTCATTCGAATCAAATTTATTCAAACAACTACTCATACTTTCAAACAGACAAAATTTAGTGTTCTCATGCTTCCAGAATGTGGAAACTTATTGACAGAAGTCTTGAAAGTGGTATAGAATGTAGTAAGTGTTCTGACCGAAATGATAGGGGGCCACATCATTTCATTTTTTCATGTAAGAAGCCTAGTCAAACTATGTGCTTCAACTTGTTTAAAACAAAACTTAAGTGGTGACTGCTCAAGTGAACTAACCATGACCATATAATGTTTCCTTAATACTTTGAGTTTGAAAATGGAAAGATCCACTAGAAATATAAACTTACATTTAATCATTGAATTCATATGTTTGAAAGATCCAATCCACTTCAAATAGGAATACGTTTACACCATTTTTAAACAGTACATTGGGTCAAAAAGTGATTACTACGCAGAGATAGACTACATAAAAATTAAATTTCTATGAAATATTTAAATGTTCCAATATGTTACAAATATATGCCTGAAATAACATTTTTGTTATTAGGATTTGAAAAATCATAATCTGGACAGTGTTAGTTTACCAAAAGACGAACAGAACGAATTCCCAATTCAACTAAGTGAATACTTCAGCCTAAATCCGGATAATGGGCAACTAAAACCATTCGAAAAGTTATCAGTTACCTTATGTCTGGCTCCTAAATGGCAAAAGTCAAAACAAGGTTTTGTCAGTTTAAACGAATCTCCACCAGTAAAACAATTTTCTGTTTACCTTCGTATACACAAAGTAGATCTTGGTGCTTGTGATTCTTCGAATCAAGAGAGTAAGAAAATCTTTGTCAATTTAATCAAAAGTATTTTTTACTTCAACCACTAATGATTTTATGAACACATCCAGTTAGACTAACTCACATACACCTAATTACAGTTCAATAATTTAATAAAACAGAAAATGTTTTACTTCAGTTGACTGAAGTAAAAGAAATGTTTTTACAAACATTTACAGTTTCATTTACAATAGCTTATTATAATGAGGGGTAACAAAATACTGTTTGCGATAAACGTTATTTAATTGAGAAATAGTAGAATTGAGAAAGTTTTGATAATAACAATGAATATTCACTGTATAATGATAATATAATGAAGTGAATATGTATTTTTTTTGAAATAATATGCGGTAAAATGAATCGTCTTTGGGCGCGGTTTTTTCGAACGATGGTGGTCTCTTGTATTTTCATTTCTATGTAGACTTAACTGCTTTCGAAAACTTGGAATACAAAATATACATAAATCTATTTTGATTAGCCTATCATTTTTTTTTATAGTAAAAGTTTATTGTAGAAAAATGTTGTTTGGTGTGATCTAAATTCGATATTTTCATTTCGAAAATTTCTTTAGCAAGTAATTTTACTGAGAAATTTAACAACCATTAACCCTATGGTTCACAATAACAAATTTTAACCCTGAGAAGTATTTACTATGGTAAAATTTTTACTAAGAAAAATAAATCTAATTAAAATTAACTCAAAACATCATAAAATCATGGTATTGACGATTTATTTAGTCAACTTTACTGCTTGAAGATCAACGTGACCAGAAATCATAGTCGATATTGGACACATCAAATACTTTAAAAAATAGTGTTGCATTAAAATATTTTGCATTGTGTGTAACATTCGTACTGATGACAGAAGTGACAAATGATGATTACATGTTTCTCTATCGACTTAGTAGTGCATAAGTAAAATGTTAGTGAAGGTCGTTGATGTAGAGTTATATTAGTAAAACAAAAAAACAGATACCATTTTATAAAATAATCCGTTTTATGGTATTTATTGGATTATTTTTCTCATTTTAGAGTTAATAACTTCTTCGCAATCTTCTGTTCTATTGGATGATAGAAATATTTTAGAAATTGTTCTGACAGGCTGTTTAATACCAGTACAATTTCAAATATCATCAATCACACAATCAATTAATGTAGACAATAAAAATCTAGATAAATCAACCACTGAACTGAATACAATTATTAATAATGAAAAGGTTAAAGTTGATAAAATTTATGAGAATCATTTTATGATACAATTTCCACCATGTTTAGTTGGTTCAAAGCAATGTACTCAATTAAAATTAACAAATCAAAGTAAACATTTACCAATTTGTTTTCGAATGCCTCGAATTGCACATTTCATTGTAAAACCTGATAAAGGAATACTTGCACCACAAAAGGATTGCCTAGTCAGTGTTTCTTTCACTCCAAAACAAATCGGTGAGCTGATTCGGTAGTGAACATGTATTATTAATCATATTGATAATTGCAATTTAATTTTGTATGCAGCTGATGAGAATCCGTGAAATTTGATTGTGCAAACCTTGTTGTTCTTGCTCTGTCTAAATCTTGACACACGATACTCATAGAGCACCATAAAATGTTGTATAAGTTCCAAGTGGTTTGATTTTAGCTAGTGAAGTTACATTCTAGAAGTCGATCGAAATAAAACATGATTTGAACATCGTTTGATAGTAATTATGGAAATCGGAGCCTTTTATGTATACATCCAGTTCATTATGTTCTAGTCCCTGAATACGATTAGAACTTAGACAGAGTTATCACGACAGTACTTACAGTGTTTTAATAAATGAGACTAAACATTTCTACTTTTAAACTAGAAAAATTTTAAAATGCAAAACTAGGATGTAATTTAAGATAAATATACTCTTGTTTACTTAGACTATACTCTCTCTCTTTTTACTTTAGTGTATGAATTAATTCATATAAGTTATTTGATTTATTTGCTAAATAACAGTTACAAATTTATCTTAACACCAATGAACTCTGGATACTGTCAGATAGTCAACAAACTTTTCCTACATTGATCGGAACATTAGAATCTGCAACATGTATGATTTATTTATTTCTGGTCAAAAAAGTGATTTGAAAGCTTAGATTGAATCAGTTAGATTAAGGTTTTATTTTCAAAAGAATTAATATTTTTCAAGTGCTATCATTATTATCAGTTTGTACTTTCTGTTCTTTCATATTGTTTCTCTGTAATTAAAAGGAGAATTTCATGCTGTTCAAAATGTTCACATTCTCAATCATTTAAATGGTACAAATTCAGTTGTTATGTATCGATGTAAACTACTTTTTCATGGTTATTCACCGGCTTTAACAATACCACCAGAAGTAAAATTTAATCCAGGTAATTTGTTATTTTATAGATAATGTGTGTCTTTGGATAATGTTTCTGTTAAGAACACAGAATGATACAAAGCTCGAAGAAAACAGGGGATAGAATTTTTATTCTAAATCATCTTGGTATGGCTTTTGTCTACAACCAATCTGGAAAGGGAGGTTGTACATATACTCTCTGTATACAATTTTAGATAGCTTCGGAGATGAATATGGTGGATAACTTGAAAAGCTGTACTTCTGATCGATGATCGGTATCAAACAACGAAGCAACTGTAGAACTCTCAATGAGTGTTGATTGTCTGACTGGATGATGTTCAGCAGTGTAAAAAGTGATATAATGAGTTGTATGTGCTATATAACTGGCTCCACAGGAGCGGCTGAGTGGATACACGGATAGATCTTACGTAATTAGGTAATCTGTCCCTATCAGCAGTTGTCATTATCAGATGATCATGAAAAATCACTCACATTTTTCGGTTGTGGTGAGCGCTTTATCCTTTGTATTAATATTTTAAAGACGGCATCGATTTTGGTCTGTAGATTTAAAAAAATAGCTTCCTCAAGACAGTTTTAATCACTGGTCATATCTTTATCTTGTTTTCTGTCTGTTGGTTAATTCTGTAGGATATTTATTTTTACTAAGGTTACTGATATCCATCAAAAAACATAATGGTTTAGCATTTTTAGTGAACCCATTTTGTGTCTAAGTAGGACAGACATGTGGCCAACCAATGATGGTTATGTGAGTGAATTAAATCATCAACCTTTCCTATGACAAAGTCACTGTATTTCACGATCTCTTAATTATGTTTCGTGTTTGCAATTCACCTTGTAATCAGTTTGAAACTCATGTCTAAAATCAATGCGGTTAAAAGTAAAAAATGATTAAAGTTAACTGGCAAAATTTTAATCGTTGAAATACTACGAAAATGCCCATCATTATCATTTGATAGAAATTATTTGCTTGAATTGCTGAACCAGAGAACATAATCACTGCCTCCACAACAGTAGACCCAAAAATACGGAGTATAGTAGCAGGCGCCATTCGAAACACTAGTGTCGTCAGATGAAGTCAGAGAACAAACCTTTCGAGACCCAATCCTAAAAGAAGTTAGAACGTTTCACTTGGAAGGTTGGCCCTCGAAGATCAGTTCCACAGAGCTTCGAAAGTTTTACCAGCGTAGACTCTCTCTTTCAATCATCGACGACTGCCTGCTGTTTGCCGAAAGAGTCATAATCCCAGCGAAGCTACAACCATCAGTCCTTAAACAATTGCACGCAGGATATCCTGGGATAAATCGCATGGAAGCATTAGCTCGAAGTCATGTATGCTGGCCGCATATAGACACCTGACTGAAGCAGCTGTCCCGTTCATGTAAAAACTAGAAAGATACTGACGTTGTTTCTATTTCGCCTTCGCCTTCGCTTCGGCTTCTTACTTCCATTCGACCTTGCTATTTGGAATATAAACTTTTCCTCTTCAACTGTGTTTTGATTTGGGGACTTTTCGATAGGAATATCTGGGTTACTAAGAGAGATTTATAACACCATATTTCTGCTTAGTTATCTGGAGTGTGAAGAATGGATCAGATTGGAAGTAGCTTACATCAGAAGTTGAGTTTAATTAAAGAAATAACAAGAACAAGGTAGGACTAGATAAGCGATTCATGTATTCACTATGAAATCTTACCATCAGTAATCACTGACACACTGCCTAATTTTCAACTCGACTGACGTCAAAGATCATACATTTTCAATGTAACTTCAAGAAATCTGTCTCAAAATAAATAGTTACTGAAAACGTTATTACTACTCTACTGCATTGTTCATAAGTAACTGATTAAGTTTGAATATGAGTCTTGTGATCATGTTACACCATGGTTTGGAGCATCAGATTGTAAGTCGGTAACCTAACCGTATAATACAGAAGGAAGATCACAATTTCCTAAGATCAATATCATGTGGCGTTGTGGATATATACCTTTCTGATCATGAAATGCACAGAATCCACCAATTAGTAAGCTTCTGCGTCAGGATTTCCCATAATAAGTTGGCATTATTATCTTTCAAATTACCTGTTAATTAATTTTTGATACTGAAATATAAAACTGTTAGGAAGGTCAAATAATTATTAGTTTTGCGTGATGTGGTTTTTTATCATCTCAATCATCTGAATTATTTCTCTTGTTTGTAATAAATCAGTTTTGATGACTGATGTTTTTTTAAAATGAACATTTCTATATCTACATAGAAAATCAACTTGTACTCAGAAAAACAGTGCACATGGAACGATTGATTAACCGATTTAGCTGATAGCAATTAATGTGCTTATATGTTTTTTAGGAATCGTCCCTAAATGGGCAAATGAAATTGGTAGAAATACCGACCTCGTCACATATGGCTCAGATTACCAATGTCCAAGAGCTGCAATAATTAGTCTTATGAGTATGAAAAGTTTGAGAGGTCTTAAATCACATGTATCACGATCTGAATTGAATACTACAATGTCCACAAAAATCGCTTTTCCAAATGATAGACTTGCTAGTATTAGACCAACGAATAAACATGAAGAATTCAAGTCAGTAATTGAATATCAATTTATTGCTAAATTGTGTAATTTATTTTTGGATGAACTACTCATATTCATTACACATATTAATTATTTTCAATACTGGATAGAATTTGTTCAGTACATTATTGAATCTCAAAAAAGTAAATTCGACTGAATTCTCCAGAATACATAGATGGAATTAAAAATGTATATTCATTTTCATATTCGGACAACAGAGGGACGTATTTTGAAAGAAGTATACAACGACAGCATTGTAGTAACGACAAATATATTTCGGTTTTATTCGTTTGTAAGATGTTAAATACCATTTGAGCAGATTTTCTCAATGACTTTAATTCAACGCCAAATTTTTATTATGAGAGCTCAGTTGAAAATGGCCATTGTCAGGACACAAACTCTTCTGATTCGGAGCATTTCTAGCTGATTGTCTTTCATTGAAATCATGAGTCGATCAGTGTCAGACCACCATTCTAAATATGGGTGCACTGGGTGACTGTTTCGTCCTAGTATGGGACTCTTTGCCAGTGCATATCCACTACTTAGCAAGTGGAAATCGAACCTAGAACCTTCGTTCTCGTGCTCAAACTCTTAAATTCTTCAAAACTGAGTCGGCATCCAACAGTGTTTTAATGTCTAACTCAAATCAATGGAGGATTGTTTTATTTACCAATTACAATCATTCCCATACTGTTTGATAATTGAGCCAATCAATTTGACTGCCATAACAAATGTAACGGACTAATAAAATGTTAAACGTTTCAATTTTTATATTATTCCAAATAAACATTTATTACTTACCTATTTACTTAATTAATCCCCTACTGATACCTGTAAACTCTGATGGACCATAGAACATCCACAAGCATTCTCAGACCTACTGTGCCCTGGGGTTCCCTTTCCAGTACTACCCAATCACTCTTCATTCTTTTCATTTTTGCTTCACATTCTCGGTGTATTATGCGCGCTGGTCTTCCTCTTTTCCCTGGGTCTTAAGGATTTCAAGTTAGGGCTTGCCTCGTGACTCATTGTGGTGATTTTCTCAATGTGTGTACCATCCACCACCGTTTTTTGCTAACTTCCTGCTCAACTGGAATCTTGTATGTTTTCTCCCACAGTAGGTTGTTGCTGATGGTGTATGGGCAACAAATCCGCAGTATCTTGAGTAGACAACTGTTAATAAAGACCAGTCCCTTAGTAATGATGGTTTTCATGGTTTTCCAAGTGTCTTGACATTTGTTTTTAAAATTTTGAATTTGGTGTTGGTTGACAGTTGTCTTCAGTTCCAGATGTTGTTCCTCAAACGTCGCGCTAGTGTCCTTGCATTCCCAATCTATGTCTCCACATCTGTATCAGATCCACCTAGTTTATCAAGGATGCTGCCCAGGTACGTAAAGGTTTCCACTTCTTCCAAAGCCGCCTCATCAAGTGTGATTTGGTTGGTGCATGTTGTGCTATATTGGAGGGTCTTGCTTTTTATCTGGTGTATGTGGAGACCTACCGATGTAGAGGCTGCTGCTACACTAGCCGCCTTCACCTAAATTTGTTGTTGTGTGTGAGACAAAAGAGCTAAGTGATATGCGAAGTCCAAATCCTTTGGCTGAATCGTAGCTTTCCACTGTACCCGTGCTTTCCCTGAGATATTGAGATCTTCATAATCTATTCAGCCACCATAAAAAGGAACGGTGAGTGTAAGCAAACGTGTCTGATACCGGTCTTCGTTTGCCATGGGTATGTTAGCTGTCCTTCACGTACGACCTTGCAGTTTTATTCATCGTAAGGATTCCGTATGATGTTGGCTATCTCTTCCGTACATCTTAGTGTTGAAGAAGGTTCCATCATATCACCCTATTCACAGTGTCAAGTGCTTTCTCGTAGTCAAGTAAACTGATGTACAGTGGTGAGTTCCTCTCAATTCATTCTTCCACAATGATCTTTAGTGCCGGGAATTAGTTAGTACACGATCGATTTTTACGGAATCCTATCCATGACATCTGGAAAAGCTGTAAGAGAATGAAACATGAGACAACAAACGACATAACGAAGAGCCCCGCAGGAAAAGGAAGGCGAACCAGAACCACCAATGAAGAACAAAGAAGGAAGAGCAATCACTGACACTCAAGAAAGGTAAAACAAGTGGGTAGAAAACTTTGAGGAACTCTAGAATAGACCAGCCACATTGGACCGACCCAACATCAAACCAGCACCTACAGATCTCGCAACTGATTTCCCCCAATCAACAAATGTAGAAATCAGCATAGCCGTTAGACAGATCAAGAGCGCCAAGGCAGAAGGACAAGACAAAATGTCAGGGAAAGTAGACATTGCAGTGGTTACAAAGATGTTCCACTCTCTGTTCAGCAAGATTTGGGAAGTAGAACAAGTACCAACAGATTGGAAAAAGGTACACTCCATCAAGATACTAAAGAAAGGCGATCTCAGCAAGTGTGAGAACTACAAAGACATCACTCTCCTCTCAATATCAGGCAAAGTCTTCCACAGAGTGTTGTGGAACAGAATAAAAGATTCCATGCAAGTCAAACTTCTGCCTGCCAGCTCTATTTCACCTCTTTGATCACTAGTTTTCATCAGCGTATTCGGCCTGTACCTTGGCTTTCTCTGCTCTTGTTCATCTTTTATTGATTGCTGTCTTCCTGTCCTTCCCTAATTGAATCTAACCCATAGATTCAAAAGGGATCCATTCCTTGTGAGTGTGCTTCTTGTGGCCCAGAACATCACGACATATTAAGCTTCCTTGATTCCTTTCAGGCTGTTTTTGAAGGTAGTTTTCAATGTATTTAGTTTATCATGAACAGTTTAGAACTTCTTACTGAGAGCCATCTTGAAATCATCTTGTTTGTCAGTATCCTGAAGAAAGGCCATATTAGACTTTTGTGATGCAGTTTGCTCAGTTTTCCAATGGTTCTTTAACTGTAGTTTCACCTTGTCTGCCACTAGTTTTGATTACACTAGTACATGTCACTACTTCACCATAGAGATTGATTATTTTTGATGAAATTAAAATCAAATATTTTGTGGAATATGCAAACGAAACGTCTTTCATTATTTTGATGTTATTTGAAAACCATTGACAATAACGAATTACTAAACCAAGACTACAATGTAATGATCATAATTTTGGATTGCAATCAGTTTTCGAAAAAGCGTGATCCTCAAAAACAACCATCCTGAATTAATGTTCAACTTAATTGATTGCACCAGTTAAACCATCATAATAGAACAACAGCAAGACTATATCGAAGCGAGTTACTTGTGAATTCATGATCGTTGTTAAAATTACTACGATTAAATCAAAGCGGATTTATAGAATGACCGTATAACCATCCCTGTTTGGTGATGTCAATCACTGGCGAAACTATTCAGCATATGTATCTCTATTTCTTTCCTGTTTATTTTGCTTGAGTATTTCACTGTGCATTTCTTGAAAAAGTGTTGTACATTTGAAAAAAATTGAATTTTTACACTGAATTTCAGTGTATACATAATAAGGCTTGTTAAATTCACTTAAGAAATCAGATATAACTGTTAAGTGACGTTAGAAAGAAAGTTGACTAGATTAAAGTACTACAAGCAACAACGAAGTAAACGATTTATTTTGCAAACTCCTATTCGTGAGGTATCCGAATCAATAACATAAGCTTATGTACAATTCGAAGACAAGTACTTTGCTAAACTACGTAACAACCAACATCTGTGTCACTTCACTAATGGAAGTTAACAAATTCAAACGAGGGATTTATGCACAAAATCAGGAAATTATTACAAATAAGCAGGTGTTTAGCAAACAAATAGGATCTGAAGAATCTTATCAAGAATATTAACAGAAAACGGTTAAAATTATGAATGGATAACACACCATAGATTTATATGAATACTTGGAAATATTAAAGATTCCCATTGTGAAAATTAGAACAACACATATAAGCGAACAATATTGTTTTCGATTAGATCGTCATCAGGCTTTACTCTAATATACATGAATATTTATATGAAAATGTTAAACCAATCAAGGCAATTTGAGAGATAATCACATTTTTCATTTCATTGTGAAATGAAAATGTGTTGTTCTAACTTGGAAATATCATTCAACAGTGAAGCGATGTTTTAAGCCATATGTTCGAAAATGTTTGTCAGTGACATCAGTTATTGAATATTAGTAAGTAATATAACTTATTACACTGAAAGGAACAGAATATGAAATAAACGAAGGTGGACAGAGCAAGCGAAAATAACAACGTATTTTGAATAAATGAGATTACCGTAACTATATATTAACATGAGTTCTCAAAATATTCACGAATAGACAAGATTTTGATACTCCGTACTAAAGATTTAACCGAGCTATACTGTTTGATGGCCAGACATCAATCATCAGCAACTACCTATTGTGGAAGGTAACATACCAGATTCCAGTTGAGGAAGAAGTTGGGTAGCAACGATGGAGGTGGATAGGACGCAACGTGAAAATTTGAAGCAAACATTTGAAGCACATTCAAGACGTCATAAATATTTTTTAATCATTATCTGTAGAATATATTTCGTTTGATAATTTCAGGAATAAAGTGCTCGTAAGACTTTTACTCTTCTCCTTTTTTTTCAACCCTAGAACGTTATATTGCCGTTTGACGAGATACACATATACAGATGAAGATTATGAATGGACTGAAGATGAGTTGAATAATATAACAAAGCGACAAACAACTTATTCTGATGTATATCGAAATCATGCTCGATTGATTGAACAAATAAAACAAGATCGTACACTAATGAAATGGAACAAACCACCAAATGATGGTTTGGTTTTAGATGAATTGGATAAGTTATCACCAAAGTTAAAAATTAGAAATTACGAGGAATTTCAACCAAGTAAATATATGTTATTACATTAAGTTTATCAGATTAGATTGTCATAGTTAAACACTTGAGAAGTCTTTACATACGAAAGTCTTCACAGCAAGGTTAAATATTATGAATATGACCAGAATAAATCCTGTATACACAAATCTGGTTATTCAATAAGCAAATCAATTTATCTGATAGGAAATAAAAATAGTATTAGTATAGTTGGTTGTTTGCTGGATGGCTGGAAGGATACATAAACGTGTCGAGGTACATTGCTTACTTATTAGTTAGTTTCTCGTCCACTAGACTTATACTAATTAGCGTCTCAATCAAAGACATGACCACTGAACGTTATTTGATATCCATGTGCGAAATCACCAATTATCAATCACTTTCAAACACCTAACGTCGTAAAACATGCACTGCAATATTACATTACTTAGAATAGTGGTTATTTTACAACTTGATCAATCAAATTCAATCAGTACTAACTCACGGACAATATGATATTGATTAGCACTAAGGTGTGAGTGCTTACTATTGTCCAAACATTTTTCAACTTTTATTTCTCTCATACTAATCATTCTGTATGTATAATTATTCGTACAGCTGGAAAACTGAAACCAATCAGTCGCCAAAAGAACTGGACAAGCGACAGCCTAAAAGTGGAGAAGAGAAAGAAGGTATTTTACCAAAATTTTTTGTCTTTCATTATTGTTTTTTGAGCAATTTACAAGGAATATAGTTATTGTGAAATAAATCAGTCTAGAGTTTAGGACTAGTTAAACCTCATTGGGAAACTTCGAAAAAAAAACAACTCAAAAATCAAGAAAAAATTGGCTTTAAAAACAAGTTTTCCTTTTCAAAAAATAATAAATTAGCGCCAATTCAGAAACAGAACCATCTCTAGATAATCATGTTTGGGGTAAACACTGGCATAACATTTATTATATTTAACAAGCAGACAGTAATTAATTATACTTTATGCATAGTATTTGAATAATCATGAACATCATCCTTTATTTTAGCGTCAATTTAACACTAGATGACATCATTTTGAATTGTGATTATAAACTTTGTGTTTGAACATTACGTTGATTGATTCGCTTTGTGGTGAACACTGACTGTAACTAATTTGTAAAAAGATAATAATTTGCCTACTACTCTTAGAAATGGTGTTGTAGAATTTTTACTGAAGACGATAGTATAATTAAAATTATATCTCAGTTTGATAGTCTTTTGTTGCGATTCGTCTTGGATATGATTTAGTCAGTTTATTTCACAATACACAATTCATGAGCAACAGTTTTTTGAAATGATCTATCTACCATTGATACTTGATAATTGAATGCCAAACTCATCTAGTATAGAAACTCCATTATCATTGAAAGTCTTTATTATCTGAAATTTGTGCTGATGATGTTGTTCAGAAGAAAAATGTAAGCTCCGCAACCGAAACATCCAGCTCAGAGGACGAAACAACACGACAATCATCCACCTGAGTTAGGTATTTTCTCCACCATCTCAAAATCGCATCAACTTTAGTTCTGATATAAAAGTACGTTTAAACTACTAAACGTAATAAGGATTACAAAAGAACTAGGACCAATGGAAAAAAAATCAGAAAATCGCCACCAGAATATCTGATAAGGTATTAATTTAAAAGTTAATAATTTACTTTGAAAAATTCATTCAAACAGAATATCAATAAAATGATCGTCATTTTTCGATGAATCTATCAGTACTTCTGTACGTTTTACAACAGTATCTGAATGAGAAGTTTTATGAAAAATTGTTAACCGAGCATTATAGAAGACATTAAATAAAAAAGATTTATAGTTAAAGTATTCTCAGTGATTGAAATTGACATTCCTTTTTATACAATGGTTAGAGCTTCTTAAAAGAAAATGATAAACATCAGTAAAAAACTGACCTTTCATCATCTTCATGATGAAGTTTGATCCAATCCACCAAGCGAAACGTTGAAATTGTTCAAATTTCAATCTCCGAAATTAATTCTAGCGAAACTTTTACATCTAATTCATTATATCCCCAAGTTTCAATTGATTGACAAAATTATTGACGTACATGTAGTCACACACTTTATTATTGTTTTGCATTATCTAAAAAATGTTTCGCCACATATTTGTAATAACTATTTACTTATGTACTACTTATTGAGCCTAATCTTTGTTGTTGTCGGTTGGACAGTCTTCAACTGAATTGTGAATTATAAAGAATTCAATCGATGAATATATACAACAACAGATCTTCGGTACTTTTACTTTTGTCTCTGATAAAATTTTTATTTATTTCTAAAGACATTTCTAGTTTGTTGTTTTATACATTAGAGAATTGCGTTTTTTTATTGAACAGCCTGAAAGAGTTCTATCATTGAAAATGATGACTAAACGAAAAGCTAGTGATGAGTGTAAACGAAAACTTTCCGTCAGTGATATAAATGAACTGTCTATTTGTAAGTTTTATTTTAGATATTTTCGTTTTCAAAATAAATCAATAAAATTAAAATGTCAATGTAGCTTATTATAAAAGTTATTTCTTTTCATTGAAATGTTTAATTTCTATAGAGAATGAATAAATAAATTTGATTCAAATTCAAATCATCTGTAACGTGGTCAAACCTAATGAGTTTAGCATTCAGGAGGTTAACTTATTTCATCTTTATAATTTGATTAGAATATAAATACCAGATCGGTTGGTGTATTTTTGTTAAACTAGCTCTACGGATAGGATACTTAATAATAGGATTTATATAATAAGCAACACCAACTTGCTTAATATAATGTGAAATTGTGTTAGCGATACTAGGTCCTCAGAGATTTCTTGGTGAACTTCGTCATTTTATAATTTATTTACGGAAATTTGAATTTCCTATTTTCGCGCCAAAAGCGCCCTCTGTTACCTTTACTTTGTGTTTCCCATCTGGATCTTAAACGTCAATGATCCAATTTCTCTTTTAATATGCTATTTTGTCACTTTCTCAGGGACGCCTTTTGTATACTATGTATTACAAATGAATTTAATGCTTGTCGTTTGTGCGTTTCGAGCCACCTGTAGATTATATATTCATCCCAGTGACTCTGGACTTCTTCTTCTAGTTAGCTGAGTTGAATCGCAGAAGAATAGCTTGGAGTGTCCTATTCTTATGTCACTGGCTATAAGTCCCGTTTTCTGATACCACGCTCTACCTTTAATGTCGCAAGCATAGGAAATATGTACACAAGATTAAGACAATTTTACTAGCCGGTTATTTCAAATATTTTAAATAGATGCTGGTAGTTTTAACTGAATTATTTTGATGAAAAATGATATTAGAATGGCATCCTTCCTAGTCACTTATAACTAAGACTTACTCAACATTATTATTATTGTGAGAACTTGCCGTTTAAGTTAACTGATGAAATTTGAGAAAAACAAATCAGTAAACCTGCTAACCAGTATATAACTGATAAAGATGTAACTCATGCAAAAATATATACAAAAATGTACATAAAAGTATCCAAAATTTGATTCATCATTTCAGTAGCTGTTTGTTAAATAGAATAATATCTTATCTTTTTCCTAAACGTAGTAAAATACTGACCTTAAAAGATATACTTCATTCGGATGGTGCAGAATGCTTGTAGCTCAGGACAAGTATTTCGAAGATGTTGTGGTCTCTAAACCTAGAAATCACAACATCTCCAATACACTTCAAGCAATCGAAACGAATATTTGTATTCTAATCATTATTATGCAACACATGCCCATCATGGATTGGATAATACGTAATGATCAAACTTATCCTTGTTAAGCAGCCTTTATTACTTTTTATTTGTTTTAATATTCAGCTCAAAGACAGTGAAAGCAATAACTCGACTACCAACAGCAGCTTCACTTGTCATAATTATTATCAGATCACAATGTTAGGTCTTCTATGATTTTGAAAAAAGCATTAACTCTTAGACTATCACATTTAAAACATGTATAGTTTGTGTACAAATAGGTTGAGCCCAGGGCCTTTTCTCAGCCTTTGGACAATTTATTCAGTTCATTCTCCTTAAGTTATTCACACATCTTTTGACCTTGCCTATTATTCTGTTATATTGTTGTTTATTTTTATTTGAATGTGTGTGTATGTGTTGCTTACTTAGTTTATCAAATGTTTAGCTTATTTATGTGTGATTATAAATACTTAGTAGTCATGCCCCATTGCATTAGTTGGCTCACTCACCTTCTCCACTCCGCTTATCTTTATCTTCAGATTTCTCATTCTCATGTCTGTCTCATTAAATCCAACCGAGTAGGTATTTGGCTTCTTATTACCGCTGTCGCACAAATGGGGCTTGCCCAAGTATGACATATAGAAACTGAAGACAAGATTTATATCATCCCATACTCGACCGTCCGCCCAAAAAAAAGTCAGACCGTGAGCCACTAAACGTATTCAGCTTACTAAAACCGTCATTTGGGCACATTTATGAAATTATGTAAAAATCACACATATTCATTAGCAGAAATGTTTTGATTAAAAACTGCGCATAGAATTTCATTACTTACACAGTTTCTTTGTAACCATAGGATGGTTAGGCGATAAGTTTGTATTTATCTTTTGTGCTGGGTGTATAATCGTCTCCAATGCCATAGAAAAAGTTTACATGTATATCTTTAATTTACACCGATTCAACATCTGATAAACTATACAATTAAACATATTTTATGAGTTTATCTTGAACTTTTTGATTATTAATGCATATGACCGCTTTCTTGTTACATAATTAACTTATATCAAGTAAATAAAAATCACTAAAATTAATAACTCATCGACCAATCTAAACAACACAATCGATCAATACTAATTAAAAGGGAAAAGCTTTTCACTCTCTTAAGAATAGTTAATCTAATTACAAACGATATCTATGTACAATATGCTTTGAAAAAAAATGCAAAATCAACAAATGTTTTAAAAACATGGTAACCAATGTTGCATATGAAAAGTTAAAAGATGAGAATGTGATCTTTTAAACATCCGTGGTGATTGAACATGAAAATCATATCATAAATATATTGTCTTTAATCTTGTATCATCTCTTTTTTTGTCTATAGTTCCAATAAATATTGAATATGGAAATATTTGTCCAAATATGGAATCGACAAAACTTGTTACTATTTCGAATCCGCTAAATCAATGTGTTTCACTGAAACTAGATACAAATCTTGAAGAATTAAAGCCAACTACCATAAGAAATTATTTAATCCAACCAAAATCTACACTTGCGATACCAATTACAATTAAAATTGCAAAAGTGTCTAATTTTCAGTGGTAAGTTTATTTTTTTTTAGAGTGTGTGTTTAGAAAAAGCCACAGTAGCAAAACATCAAAGAATGTCATTCTCATGATTTTAAGTTGTAGTGCCTTCACATATATTCCAGTTCGCTTACATCTAAATTGGTTAAGCCCTTTCGATTAATTTATTTAACCAAGCCATTTGTATTGCAACAATTTATATGTACCATTCGTTCTTATTATTGTCTGGTTTGTATGAGCTCATGTGACTTGTTCCACTTGTCATTTGACCTTGTCAACCATTCGTCGCTTTTATTCATGTGTGTGCATGCCTATCTCGTTGATCACATGTCTGTCTTATTTTTGTCTGACTATACATACTTAGTCAGGCTCCATTTCTTGGAGTTGGCCCATTGGCCTTCTCCAACGCGCTTCTCCAATTCACATCGCTTCATTCGTTTTATTCACTGCTTCTCCGCTACGCTTTGTGGTGTGTCAAAAATAAACATATTCAACACTTTGTGTTCACCTTCTGATTTATAAACCGTCAGACGCTAGTTGGTAACGACTGTCTGGACGAGCTAATTACCGAGCTTAAGAACACACAGTAAATCGACACACTACAAAGTGATGATAATTTCTGAATTCTGTTTTGGTCATTTAGTTATTGATAATCAGTTGGCAGTATTATGATTTGTCAAAAAATAATCCATGAAAGCAAACACAATTATTATTCAGAGAGAAAGAGCGAGCACTATATATAACCGATTCTATTGACTAGACCAGGATTGTTTTAAATGTTCAGGCAAATCACTGCTAAATCGGGAGCTTATTCTTTTGAAAACGTCTTGCTTCCTGGATATAGGTTGAAATTTTTCGAAATTAACAGTTATGTACATTAGTAAGTTTGAACATAAACGTATTTTCTCCATAACTTCGAGATAGTGGGAAAAAAATTCCTAAACTCGTAATCCAGGTTATTGATTGCACGTAATATGTTTTAAATCAGAAAAGATTTTGCATAATCCTGTATCATTTGAAATTAGTGTTTTACTAAAGAATTATTTTACAAAATGAATAGTTTACTGTTTATTCTCATTTATGTAACCGAATTCCATCTCAAAATGGATTATGATGAGTATGCATATGAATAAGGTGATCTCATGCAAATTCATCGCATCATATGCTCAAGCACAGAGGAAGAAAATCTCATATTGTTTTCTTTAAACGAAAAAGATCCTCTAATCAAATAATAAGCTGCTTAAGTTATAACTTTATATCATATTAATATAATCTTATTATTTTCGATTATTTAACAAGTTTACCAAATCTGTAAAGATTTTATTTATTAAAATCGATAAATTCTTAAAACGGAAGTAGTTTTATGAGAAAGTAAACTTATGTTCTATTATCATATACAAGATAAAAATATTCCAGAGTTTTAATCAAATATCTTTGTAATTTATTTAAAACACGTATCTAGCAATTTGGGTTTTACGTTGAATGATCAACATAAAAGTAATCTGGTAATATGTGCCACAGTGGTACCAATTCAACTGGTTCTTACACCATCTACTGTCGAGCTTACTTCAGCTAATATCTCATATGGTTTAATTCGAACAAATGGATTGTATGGATATGCTACATTGTTCAATCCATTACATGCTTCGGCAAGATTTTATTGGCAAGCATTGGGCAATCAAAATCCGTTTACAATATGCCCTAAAAAAGGTGAACATTTATTGTAAATTACTCGTAGACATTCTGTTTGTTCTCTGTTTGTTCTTATCCGATAAGAATCTATCGATTTCTGAAGCAGTTTTATAGTTTTCAAAGTAATCAAAAGATTTATTTAATACACGAAAATTTTATGCTCTGCTGACACTACCAGAGAACCATCAACTTATTTTATTTATTAAATGCTTCATAATCTGCATTCATTTAAAGAGATTATTGACTAATTAACAGTCATTCATGACAGACGATAATTTGATGTTTGCGTCATTTTTTTTATGTGGTAGAGATTTTATCGACAGTATAACTGTTGTAATAGTTGAATTAAAAATACTAGTATCTTCTACATTAATTCTGATTGGTTCGTTAGTAAAGTAAATTTGCACCATAGATTGTTTGCATATGGCTTGACACATTATGATGTATATTGGTTGATGCTGTGTTGTAAAAGAGCCTGATTCATTACATGTGACATTGTTCATGGTTGAAGTAGCCAATGAGAAAACTTAAACCCGATTTCCGAACCATCTAGTACTCATCAAAATGGCTTACCTGAAATTTCATGAGAATCAACTCTGTGTGATTTAGACCCACATCACCCAGTTCAAAATATTACCATTACGCAATTTTTTGGTTTTATTGCCATGTGACGTCAGCCACCGATCATCGAAAGATACTGAGGGCGATGTTCAGTCACTTTGACTGATGACCGTATTGCAATGTTCAATAACACTGATTACTACTCAGTGAATGAGATGTAAGTATGTGAGAATTCAAAGTTAAACGAGACGAAACTAACAATTCAAGTTTTTCTTTCTTGTAGGTGTGGTTGAGCCATTTTCTTCATTAAATTGTGAAATCACGTACTATCCAAATATCAACACTACAATGGAGGGTAAATTCCACTTAAAACTATTAGATGTAAATGACAATCAGCCAAAAACAATCAATAAACTAAACGAAAATCATCATATTGCGGAATTACTATGTGTTGCAAAACTACTACCTAGTAAATTATCATTTTCAACACGTCGATTACCACTTGGATCAGTTGCACACGGTTTACCCTGTACACGTCAAATAACCATATTTAATTTAGGACAAAACCCTGTTTTATTCCAAATTATCAATGAATTTAATGGTGCCGTAAATCATCACGGTAGTATTCCATCTTATATGCATAGGTTATCAAGAGCTTTACCAGCAAGAGTTGAAATTCAAGTTAGTCCGGCGGAAGGTGAAATCCCAGTTGGTGGTGAGACTATCTTAAAGGTAACATGTTTTAACAGAAAACCCTTCTCTCATTGTTTAAAATGTCTAGCATTAAATCTCCAGAACTCGTTGATTACCCTAACTGAAGTAGGGTTCTTGCTTAGTTTTGTAATGTCCATGATCGATTTTGTGTTTTTCATAAACATTTGGTTCCCTTTATTACCGTGATGAAAGTAATATCTAGGAGTGGAGCTCATTTCTTTGTATCAAAGTATTACTGTACATTAAAGCTTGATAAAGATCTAGTTGAAAATAATATTATTTGCTTACATGTACAGTTCTAATTCCAAAACCAAACTAACTAGGTACCTTTGATCTAGTTTTCTTTCGCTATGTATTTAAGTTATTGTGAACAGTTAAGTTTAAAACAAGTCGTACAGATTATGCGTTTAACTATCTCGTAAACAGTCAAAGTATCAGTTTTTCTGGATAGCGTTTATTGTAAGTAGTCAAATTACTCCTCATAACACTTCATGAGTAATCACACCAGATATTTAAAGGGGAATCAAGAATGTGTATGAATGTGTTTTTTTAATGATAATGTCAGTGAAGCGTGTACAATCAGTGAGAGAGTAGATAGAAAATTAGGAATACTTTCATGCATAAAATCAAATTGACCATTCATTCTTATACACAGCGCACCAAATGTCTAAATTATAGTAATGAGGTCATGAAAATATTCGCAGAATTTTTGTGTCCTGGAAAGTAGCTACTGCAAATACATAGGTTAAAAAGGTCTGCTACGTACTAGGCCTACACTTACTAGTAAAGATTTAGAAACATGTAATGTTCTATTTCGCGGGTGTAACAAATAATCACACATTAGAACAGCATCATGATATCGCACCGATTGATCACATGCAATCTTATGTTCCTGGAATGGTTAATGATTTTAAATTTTGTAACGAAGACAGTAAATTACAATAGATTGACTTGGATAATTTTCATTGAGTATGCTGGATATATGCGAAAAAAAACCGATTCTAACAATATCTAGTTCCAAAAGTGTTAGAAGGAAAAAGATTTTAATGATTCAGTGAACGAATTTTCCATTGTTGAAATCAATGAATAGACTGCTGATTGACAGATGAACATATTGGATAAATGTGCGCTACTCAAGAGACTAAATTATATTGACCTAATCCGCAGAATGCTTTGAGGTTTAAAAACGAGATCAATAAACAAAAGTATAGGTTTCTTTTTTTTAATACACTAACATGCTTCCATTTAAATAAACATGAAATGATGTAATAGGTGATTATTTTAATCACCACCTATTTGTAGGCCATTCATTCTCCACTAATTTAGGACTAGACTAATGGGTCTAATTCTTACACGTCATATCAGAGAAAGATAGATGAGTTGTAAGTGATGATCATACTAATTTCAGAATTACAGTACAAGTTTTCCTTTACGAATAAATCATTATCAGTTTATGCCTAATTTAAAATTAATATTACATTATTTATGTACATGCTGATCATGCTAGTTCGTTCATCACATACAAGGCATAAATAAACATGACTATGTTCGACATGAAAAGATTAATTGTTCACTAGAACATCAAAGGTTAAAGTTTTACTCTGTGCTCAATTCTACTAGATTACATTTAAACATGAATTTACTGGACAAACGTAATGTGACAGTATTTCCCTGACAGTGGGCAAGAATAGTTTTAAATAGCTGGCAGTTAGTGAAAACATTTTTTCCGCACAAAGTCATTTCACTTTTCATCTAACAGAGAAATATCATTTAGTAGTAATTTGTTCTTCTATTTCAAATTAAGGTCACTTGTGTACCGATTGGGCTGGGTAAATTTGAATCGTCTGTTACATTAAGTACATATGATGGTCAAGATATTAATTTATCCGTATGTGGAACTGTACTTAGACCACAAATTCAGTTAAAACCAAATAATTTTGAATTTGGTGGTAAGTTGAGATTTTTAGACTTTATTATTATTGTTTTACATTTTTTCGTATCACCACATTTTTATGAAAAAAACTAACATAGATTGTAACCGACTGTAGTGGAGATTCGTTCTCTAATCTGGATGTTTTAGTTGTGGAGCTTTCATTGTCCTTCAGAACAACATCAACAGCACATAGTTCAAGTAAAAGCGAAGTATCATAGGGCTGTGGAGATTGTTGAGTTACTTTTGAAATCATAAACCCGAGATCGAGGGTCCTGGGTTTGAATTCTTGGAGTATCAGGACTGGTGGATGCGCATTGCTGACGAGTCTTATACCGGGAAGAAACAACCATCCAGTGCTTTCATGTTTTTGTTGGTTGTCTAACATCAATGGACTCATGATTTTAGAAGTGAAGTGTCTGAATTTCTCCACATATTACATGTAGCTTGTCTAATGGCTTAAACTTGTCTATCAATCATATTTTCGAAATTCATTTCTAATTTTCTCAACTCAGATGTTGCACACTCTTAACTTGGTGATTTTTCATTTAATTGTCGACTAAGAACATATACGTTTTAGGAAATACATCAAATCAATTTTTATTCCCAAAAAAATATAAATTTCCTGATAGTTGTAATTTTAATAAGGACGTACATGGTGAATCAGTATTATTTCTATCAATGCGATATTTAATACATAGGGTTTTCATAGGGCGAACCTCACAGAGTCGTTATTGTTAATGTCGTGATTATTTTTTTTTTGCATTGCATATTAAATCACTATAGAAGCGCATGTGAAAAACCTTTCAAAAGAATAATTTTTTATCAAAACATTACAACGGACACTATTATTCACTTATTTTCAGGTGTTAGAATTGGTTCAATGAGATCTCTCCCATTTGAAATTATCAATATTGGCATCACTCGTGCATTAGTAGAAATACAATTGATGGATTATGAGGAATTTCAAATTTCTGATAATATAAGATCATCTACATTAGATGAATATCGGCATGGACGAATTCATACTAGTGATAGAAATATTTCAACTAGAAATAAATCTTGTCATTCTGCGTATTCGGAAGAATTGGAAAATACAACTGTACAAAACACTGTTAGGATTCCTCATTCGTACAGTTACTTGGAATGTGATAAATTCAACCGTTTGTATCGCATTTATATACCACCTCAAAGTAAATGGGTTGGTTGCCTAGTCTATAAGCCTAAAGATGTAAGTTGTTTAATTTTAACAATATGTAAATACTAAATTTCGATTAATTTTAAACTAGCAGTATTAAAATAAGCAAAATAAATTTGTCAGTCACTGGTTTATTCGGAGGTTATCTTATCAATATTTATTTAACATATGCAAATCTACCTCTTCTGACACTGGAATCCCAATAAACAGTTTCAAGTGAATTATACGTTGGGTAGTGTTACGTTTGAATGTAAACATGTCAATTTGATATGCTTGGATTATTACGAGTTGAAAAACGAGAGCGAGGATCGAGGATCCGATGACACGACATGCTACTCTAATCCGATTGTCTCAACCACCATTGAATAAAAGAACACTTGATATGAAGTAGAACCTGTATTCTGCTTACATCCAGAAAGTTCGAGGTCCGAGTCCAGAAGAAAATCAGGGTCTCGGACTAGGGATTCGGGTCAAGGTCCAGGTCATAAAACGTTACAGATAATGCGTATTTATACATTTTGGTCGAATAGGAAACAGCATCGAAGTCTGTGACACTGACACTGTTAAGGCAACCAAGAGGAAAAAGCATTTAAAGTGACATATTTAGTGAATATCCTAACAGATAGAGTGTCCCTATGTCGATTAAATATTCAATGGTGAAATTTAAAAAATTGAAATCTATGGCGTTTTGCAAGTTGATGTAAATAAGTTCTTTACAAAATATACAGTGCAAGAAACTAATTATATCCACTGTTTAGTACATGAAAATAGGTTTGATCATGCTACACTGTTATCACTAATTTGATTTGTTACTTTTTAACTTTTACAAGATTATCGGGATATCATTTGTGTAGCTTACATTTTATTTGACACAAGTCAAGATTCCAAGGGAAAATTCTTTAGCACAAAATCCGTCCCCACATATGTAGCCTAACATATCGACATAGTTCTGTATTGTAGGAAATAAACCATTGCCTTTTATTTGAAACTTGTTAATAGGTCTAAATTATTTTAGAAATTCCTTGTAGTTATATTTTACCTCAAAGCTAAGGTAACGTGACTGTGACAGTATATGAAATTTCTTTCTATTCTCCATTCATTCAGAATATTCACTGAAAAATTATTACATTGCATATAAGCATGAAAATTAACTAAATAATAACGGGATCATACGTTTTTTATTACTTGGTTATTACTTGACATTTTCTGAGATGTTTATAACCATTGTTATGATTAGTGTTTATTAATTGTCTAGTTATCAAGCTAGATTAGATTTACTCAATAGATTGTTTTTTATACTCCTCTTTACCTAGTTCAATGTAGACTGTTTGGTTAGTATTATGATTTTTGGCTACAATTTGAGAAGGATGATGGTTTCTAAACTAACTCTGTACAGCGTAAACAACTCATAGATTCAGTTAGGTCTATGAAACAATTAACAAACCTGACATTGTGAGTAATACATATTGTAGAATTAAACAAAAAGGGTTTTGTGTTCACTAATGGTGTTAATATCTAACTTCGATCAATTCACGGTCTTGTGTAACCTCGTACACTGTCTTCGGAAGTCACTATCTACGCCCGAACAGTTTGGACTTCACTGATCACGACTTTTCACTAGAACTCGGAGAAGAAGTTGTACATTAACAGCTTTAGATACCGGCCCAGTGGTCCAGAGGTTAAGCGTTCGATCGCAGGACCGAAGGTCCCGGGTTCGGATCCTGCGAGGGGCAGGAGTCTAGGATGTGCACTGCCGTTGAGTCGCATGTTAGGACGAGACAGCCGTCCAATGCTTCTAGGTTTCTAATGGTGGTCTAGCAGTGGTCGATTCATGATTTCATTGAGTAACTTAACAATCTTCACAACCCCATTATGCAAATAGTTTTCAGAAAATCTAATTTCAAATAAATCTGATACTGTCATTCTATACCACGCACTCTCCAATATGTGTTTTAAACCATTTTTAATGACTTTATGATATTCACCTCTTCATTTATTCAAATATAGGTATCATTTCATGACTTTGTGCTCCCATTAATAATCAATAAACTTAATCCACAACTTTTATGTCAAACACTAAATGACACAAATGATATGAGTGTTAATACTGACGGAGAACCAGAAAGTGAAGTTGAAACTGATTTAAAAATATCTGTCCAAGATTATAAACCTAGAGTTATAGCTACAGCATTAAGACAACCTATAACAATTGAACCTAAAAATGGTGTACTCAAATTTATTGCCACTTTGAATGACAAAGTTTCAGAATCAACAAATATTTTATATCAGGTAAGTGATTTTTGATAGTTGATGCAATTGTTAAGTGTATAAGTCGATATTTTGCACTCTATGGTTTAATATTATCACCAGTGATAATAATAAGGTTCATGAATTACTTACAGAAAAACTCCATCAATTACGCTGAAGAGACCGTCCTGTTTGTCCACTTTATCAGCTTCGTTTACGTGAACACCAATTAGCAGTCAAACGCCACGATACATACATACATACATACGGACAATTATGAACATAAATTTGATTGGATCAATTTGGAAATAATGGATAGAGAAAGTACAAAGATCACTAGAGAATTTTTAGAAGCTTGGCACTCAGGTCAATCAGCAACCAACAAACACATCGACATTGACCCAATTTATCAACCAATCAGTAAAATCATAGGCGACATAGGATCAAGAAACAGATCAACACGGGGGTTACAATCAAAACAGATGTACAAACAACGACAGGTTTAGGGTCAACAGTAACCAATCAAGATCGAGTTTAACAGAACAAGCTACGGGTTACAAGTGGAGAAATTCAAATACCTCACCTCTATCTGAAGTTTGTGCTGATGATGTTGTTTAGAAGAACATTGAACGCTCCACAACCAAAACATCCAGCTCAGAGAACGAAACACATCACCACAATCATCCGCTTAAGCTACAAATCTTCTCCACCACCTCAATATAAGCAACTCAGTGTATTAAATCAGTTACATGAAAAATGTATGGAAGCAAATAAATACATTTCAAAAGTTTATTTTATCTTGCCTTTATTAGATACACATTTGTTGAACCTTTGTTTTGTAAAGAAACTTAGTAAAATATGTAGTGTGACACGGTGTACACAAACTTAAATATTTTAGTGTACATTATCCATGATATATGTTGGTTTCAAATTCAGGCATATATCTCAATGTCTAATGCTTCTGCCTAGCCTGCTAATATTAACAAGATTGTTGAGATTCTTGATGCTTAACGATAGAATATCTGTTCCTTATGATTCAATAATCTTAGCCTTCTTCTTTTAGAATAGAAAATCTTAAACATGTTACTATAAAGTCAAACTAATTCAAAAAGCTACTAAATTCTAAGCCACAAGTAAATCAAGGTTTGCAATTATTCCAATAGGGTGTCATATTTTTATCAATTAAAAACTATTTCGTGACCACTGATGAATGTTAAATGTACAATTTTTCAATTAATATTAATATTTTAATTATCTATAAGCCAATCAATCAATACTAATGTTTGTGAAACTAATCTAATATAAGGAAAACATTTGAAGTGTATTAATTATCAGTCAGGAATATCTTTTATGCAAACGTATGAATATTGAAGAGACAAACATTGCTATGGATTGATTAAATTGGCATAAAATATCCTTAATATTGACCAGCTGTTTGTAAGATTTAAACTCCGGTATTATTATTAGTCATTATACCTTCTACGCAGCAACCAAGTCAAGTTAACTGATTCAAAGTTAACAAATTCAGTAACAGAATACTTCGGTGCATTCAGCTTTATGAAAAGAGGGTTTCAGGTATTGGACCAGCAACATGGTCTTTTATAGCTTACGGCTACAAATCAAATATCAGTGTTAAAAACTTATAAGTTCATAATTTAGAGAAATACAGAGACAATATATAAATTACTAGACCGCCTCTCTTCATACCTGTTAATACCAATGAGTCATCCAAATATCGTGGGGCAGCATGCTCACTTATAAAGTATTCCGTTTGAATTGTCATTTTAAGCAATCTAGATAATTTAGAAGTCTATGTCTTGAAACCAGAATTAATAATTGTAGTTGCAGTTTTTACAGTAAGTAAATATTGCTGAAGGAACTTTGAAATCAGATTCTTAAACAAATTTATGTTAACAACACATATAGAACCATATATCACACACTAATTTCATGATAATAACCGATACAATCTGCTTCTATACTTTAAATATATTTTAGCATCTCAGTATAAAACCATTGATCAACTTACCAATGAAATGGCATTTAGACTTGCATAAAATTCAACGTTTCAATAAACGTGCCCATGGAAAAATGACGATACTCAATGTTCAAGGCAAAGAGCTACTACCTGATTTAGATGGTTACATAAATGGTGATTTCACAGAAAGTGACAATGGGGCAATTCACTTTGAACTTAGACTATGTCCAAGTAAGTGAAATTGAATTTTAAATCCTAAAAAAAGCACTCAGTTAATCGTAAAACACAAGTGTGTTTGTTTGTTCAGCTTAATTGCAATATTGGTTTTGTTATCTGAAATATAATCAGCTGCTGTAAACCAATAATCTGTCATCAGTAATGCTTTTGAGGGGTCGATCTACTTTCACAACATCAGATAATCTCATCATTGTAAATCTTAGAAATCAGAGATGAAAGTTATGAAACGAATTAGCTTTAAATTATAGATACCATAAATCACTACCTATTACCACTGTGTTTTCTGTATGCAAGTTATTTCAATTTTTTTAAGTACTGTTCTCATCGTAAACCTAGATCTAATCTTTTTCTTACCGTATTTGTAACTAAAATCAGCAGTGATCAATACTGTAGTGGTGACAAAACAACCATGTATTCTTCTTTCTAGTCAAAGCAGGATCTTTCAAGTTAGAACTACCAATTTGTTTAACATTTCCGGAAGATGTGAATTGTGAACAAAGTCCGAAATCGAATTCAACACTTTATAAAACACTTCAAATTCATATTGAATTAAGAAAATTAGAATTGAAATTTGAACCAGAAAGAATATTAATACCACCTATTCCAACTGGAATACATGTTAGAATACCAGTAACATTGACAGCGTATCAATTAAATCAACCAATAAAAATACATGGATTTTGGAATTTTTCACCAGCAAGTGAAGTACAGTCACCAATGGACGATGAAAATATTCAATGTCCATTTGATATCGAATATCCAGAAGGTCGAAGTAAGTTTTAAGTGTGAGTAAAAGTATCAATAAAACATTTCTTAAAATGAGATTAATTTTCTTTAAGCTTATTAAGACTACAAGCAAATAACAGCAAACATAATTCACATTCTGAAAACTAATAACAACAAGGTATAAAACTATATTTTTTTCTACTGTTCAAAGTGGTCAGTATAATTTTAATCACATATTCGATTAACTGTATCACAAAACTTAGTTTTTTGGTAGAACTTAATTCATGTTCCATAGAGCAACAGCTACTTTACTTACCTCTGACTTTTAGCTAACAAACTGAAATTCACTAGACTAATATAAATTATGAAATAACTAATTCTTGACATGATTAAATTATTCATACCGGAAATATTCTAAATGGTTTTGCGCTCAAGTGTATACTTTTGGTCGCATTTTCTCGGCTTCATTGTTTAATGACAGTCTTCGTTGTTATTGTAGGCAACATCTTCAGCGCCGATTTAATGATGCAGATGTTCCCAATGACAGTGATAACTGCCCAATCAAACTAGAAACTTTGAAAACCAATCTAGGTTAATAGATCTAAAGATATATATATATATATATATATATATCACCGTTTTCTTTTTGTTTAACTCTTTTCATTCCAACCTAGATAACTCATCACTGTCTCTAATTCTTTTTTCTTGCATAATTTACAGTTCTAAAACCAAAATATAACGCATCACTTTCTGATACAGGAAGTTTAAATTTATATGTTAATTTTAACTGTAAATTAAATGGTCTTGTTCTTGCACCCAATCCAAGACCATTATGCTTAATTATAATTGCGAGCATTGATAATTTTGATCATGGTGAATTGCGTTATTTGTCGAAGAAAAATTCAAGAGATAATGTTTTATCATCATATATCTGTTCAGCTGCTTTACCTGTTAGTGCTGCAGTTGATAATTCTCTAACCAGCTGGTTTGATTATATAACACGTCGACCAGATGAGTTCAAACTGACTGGTAACCAAGTAAGTTAATAATATATATATATATAGAGTTTAATAACGTCTGTTTTTCTTATGAAAACTATTTTTTTATCGAAGAGTAACACCTAGAAGAAGAACAGAAAATGCTCCGTCATATGGAGTGTGCATTTTGTTAATGTTTCTTTAACACACCACTACTATTGATATTTCATTTCACTCCGTTAATGTATCATCTGACTGTTATGATGTGGAAAGTGATGAATTGGATCAATGTGCATTTACTTTCAAATCTATTTCTTTATGTATGACTGACTAATTCACTGATCATGTTAACATGTAGTAAATAAAACTATTTGTACTTATTATTAATGGTCGTTTGTTTCACTTGTTTTCAAACAAATTTTTAATCAACTCAAGGAAGTTGTTACGCCTGCACGTGAACACGTCATTTTGATATCTTGAACTATTACGAGTTTACCTAGTCGGAAAACGAGAGCGAGGATCCGGCGACACGACATGCTACGCAAATCCGATTTTCTTAACCCCCATATTGAGTGAAAATAAGAAGACTTGAATGTGGAGTAGAACCTGTATTCTACAAGCATCCAGAAAGTACGAGGTCCGAATCCAGAAGAGAATCAGGATCTCGGACTAGGGACCGGGTCCTGGTCCTGGTCATAAAACGTTACAAATAATGCGTATTTATACATTTTGATCGAATAGGAAACAGCATTGAAATCTGTGACATTGACAGTTAAGACGACGAATAGGAAGCAACATTTGAAGTGACATCGATAGTCAGGACAACCAATAAGACACAACATTGGGGCACGTGACAGTGATATCTAGGACGACTATAAAATTGACCAGTAGGAATTAACCAATAGGAATTGACCAATAATTCTCTTAGGATATTGGATGAATATCCTAACAGAAGTGATGCAAGGAAAATTTATGAAGTGATTAATTCTATGTTTCACATGATTATTGATAATTTCCAACTTGTTATCTTTACTCGTTCATTCAGTACTGTTTATAATTTCATTGCATTACAAAAGTAGTTGTTTCATCTCAATTTCTATTTTTCATAGAATTTTAGGAGTAAACTGCAAGAAATACAGTTGAATCGAAATTTAAATATTACTGCATTATATCATTTGTTTGATGAATTAACACTTTCACAGAAAGAATACTTGAACTCAGAGGATACATTATCTGATATCAGTTCTTCAGTAGGAAACAAAACACATCAGAAGACAGATAAAAGTTGTTTAAACGATGTCAGAAATATACAAACAAATAATTATGATACTTTAGAAAGTACGTTTATTGTTTATACTTGATAAATCTCATTTTGAATAACTAGAAATATGAAAGATCTATGCTAAAAGATGTTTTCCGATAGTTTCATATGCCATTGAAAAGGGAGGGAAAATTTTTCTGAAATAACTCAAAACAATGCTCCACCTTGGTTATTAACGTGACATAAAAATGTGTTTTAGGCATCTCCAGATATCTTTCAGACAACTTGATCGATAAAAGTTTGTAATCCCAATGTCAAACCAAATAAAACATCAATGAGAGTCAACAAGCGTGGCTATTTAACATTATTTTATTCCATACTTGTACATAATGATGAAAGTAACTTTTCAGTCATTCATTTTCACTAAGATTGATTTCTGTTAAGAAGAAATCCTCTATCACATTTGTTTGCATCCAATGAGAGTACTTGCATAATATTGTACAATATACACTTGTCATATGTAATTATAATACACTAAACTAGACTAAATTAATGATCATTTAAATAATTAGATATATCCTGTTGAGTAGTTTACTGACATTTTAAAGTAGGGAATCGATGGAAGTTTATTTCAGTCAGCTGAAATTTGACACTACTTATAATGTCAGTTAAATATTACAGCGATTAACATCAATGTAACATAGTCAACATTGGTACATTGAACTGTAATGTATAACTATAATTTGTATCCTAAGATTATTAAGCTTAAATTACCAGACGTTTACTCCAGGTTTTATGAGTATTTAATTGTACCTTTAATGTTCAGGTCATGCATCAAGTGAATTATTCAAAACAGTTATTTTTTTATGGTGAACTATAATGTGAGATCATTTCGGAAATAGCAGTAGATATTATGATGATTGGACCGTAAAATAGAGCTCATACATGATCACAATGAATATTTATTTTCGGTCTCTATGCAATGTAAACAGCAATATGTTTTGAACCAACGGCAGAAACTGTATGTGGCATATTACAAATGAAACACAGCACATATCACGTAATACTCTTTCTGGCTATAAAACATCAAACTGAAAATCATTTTTGTTGAAATCATGAATCGATCAGTGTTAGACCACCATTGGAAACATACAAACACTGGATAGCCATTTCGTCCTAGTATGGGACTTGTCAGTGGTGCGCATTTACTCCCCGTAAGCAGGAATCGAACCCAGGACCTTCGGTCTCAGGCCCGAACGCTTAAAGTCTAGATCATTGAACTGGCATCCACCGGTGTTAATGTATAACTTCAATCACCCCACGATATCAGTCAATCACAATCTATTGTCCTCGGTGGGTATCTGCCTAACACCCGACACGAATGAGCTCCACTGGTCAAGACCTTTCACTAGTACTCCGAAATCTCCCCCACAAAACTAGTCACCAGTGAGTACTTGAGGTTAGACATTGACACTGATGAATTCTGGCTTAGTAGTCAGTAGGCTATGCGTCTGCGTCTGAAGGTCGTGGGTTCAATTACTGCCTACAAGCTCGTGAATGCGCACTAGTAATAAGTTGCATACTGGGACGAAACAGCTATCCAGTGCTTCTATGTCTCCAATAGTAGCCTAACATTGGTCGATTCTTGATTTCAGGGAAACTCAACAATCTTTGCAATCCTACATTAAAAATCACCTATTTGTTCTCTTACTTAATTTCCTTTTCTTACTTCTTTCGCTCTCTTTTCATTTTGGTTTATGAAGTTCTTATGTTATATGACACCTTAAATACTAAAAGCCCCTTCATATTATTTATTCTATTGTTTATGTACTGTATGTTGTAAATTATGATGAAACATTAGACTTAAACTCTTATTAATTGATACGTGCAAGACAATCAGTGTTGTTATTTCCCCTCACTCTACCAAAAGTAATTGTGAACAAGGTACGTCAATAATTCATTCATACATTCGCAAACTTTTTTTTATTACAGATCCACCTATTCATCAAGATCACTTAGAAGACTTGGAAGATAACGACCAATTGAAGTAAGTATGCTTCAATTTTTTTTACATTAGTTAACTATTTTTTATATTGATAATATTCCACTCTTTGTATAAACAATACGCACTGTTCATAATGGTAGGCCTCCAGAGATTAGACTGCATAATTATGACTTTCTTTGAAGTCATATCTATTCCTGGCTAGTCACTTTTATACTTATAACAACATCATACATGTGACACATTCTGAGAAAAAAAAATTACGATTGAATAATAACTAGTTTGACAATAGTATAAAGCACTGAATTTTAATCATACGCTTCAGTGGTGTTTGGAAGTCAAATGTTAATGTATACAGCTGATAAATATCATACCCGTTCCATATATCTGTGTCGATAAAGCGTCTTATCACTAAACAAGATATCTGAGATAGGTAGTCAACTGTTGTATCAATGAAAATGATATCAAATTTTTATTAATACACAAATGACCTGCCACTTACTTGTATGTATAGCTTGATTTCCAGATAACAGAGAGGAAAATTTATCCTAATGGACTATGATGATTTTGTATAAATAGATTTGGAATAACTCAGGAAGAAAAAGCACCAAAAACAGTAACTTAACAAACTTGAACATTAATTTATTAATTTCCGTCTTTCATAAAATATTTGTAACCTAATAGTTAATATCATAAGATGTCAGTTTTAAATTTATCATCTGATTACATAACATGTTGATTATCAAAAACAGTAAATTGTTTTATTGATATACTCTCAATTGTTAGAATATCACCGTCAACAGTGTCACCAACAACAACAGCAAATTCTTATGGAACTTGTTCATTTCTACCGGATTGGCAATTGATCGATAGATCTGCAACAGAACAAGTACAACGTTGGCTTAGTGTTCATGGATTTCCGAAGGGTCGTTATCAATTGAAATTTCCCGATGATTTTCGAAAGTAATAAATTATGCGTTTTGTTTTTCTTTTCTGAATTATTAATTTATCTTACATGAATTTGATAAATTTGAAAATATTTATTTAGCACTGATTAATATCGGAATTTGAAAGGTTTCATGACAAATTGGAAGCTTCTGTTTAAAATGTATAAATATCACTTAAAATTCATCATTAAAATGTCGATTCCTCTAGAACAGTAATGAATTTTGACAGTCTTATTAGGATGACATTTTGACTTAAATTAAAGTTACGTCTAAATTGTAAGTATACATTTTATAGATAAGTCGAGCAACGAGTCAATTGAATGATTGCTTCTGACAAGCATGTATAACAGTAAGTAACTCACTATGGTATTCAGCCTTTAGTTTTGAAACTCTGTCATACCTAAATCGATTTCTGAATACATGACAATACGACACTTGAATCATAATCCAACACAAACTTGAATAATGAAGTTTCATTAATAACAGAAATTTTTCGAATGAGTTTCTCTTTTCCTTCTAGGCAAACTGTCTAAATTCATCAAATATACCAGAACTATTTCAATCACTTTCACAGATATATAGTAACGTATAGTAAGTAACATATCACAGCTTTTGTGAACAAATTAAATACTTATCTTGATATTTTTCAGATTAGTTTTCAGTCAGTCACTCTCATCACTGTACAGTCTAGTGCACCAAACTTCCTTTATATGACATCAGAAAGATAAAAAAACATAAATAATAGCGAAAGATTTCGAAACCATCAAATAGCAGTGATAGTGAGAAAATGTTGAGGATGTTAGATCCCCAAAACTCGATTGATAAATGCCTTATCTTGGATTTCATGTTCGCGTGCATGGGTTGATCAGTTGACCTTGAGATTTCATTCCCCACCAAGAAAATCCATGGCTGTGATTGGCTGCTGTGTATTTTGCTGTGCTATTTTTTTTGGCTGTTCCAATGACGTTTCTACAATGTATAAATAAACGAGAGTTGTGTGCTTGATTGCACTGTTCCACCTGGGTGTTGTAGAATATATTTTCTACGCTTATCAAGACTTCCGCTTTACAGTTTGGGATTCAAGGTAGCCTACTTGGACGCTGGTAATTGTCTTGTTTCGCGTTTATCAACTAAGGTGAACTCGTAATCGCTTCACGCGTGCCTAGTGACGAACATGACAGAAAGATTGAACTTTGGGAAGATGAATGATTTATATTTTAGTTATCCTTGTTCTGCACTGTTCTTTGCCAAGTCTTCTTGTGTTTATTTTCCCAGAAAATATAATCATCCGGATAATAATTATTTTGTTCGTCGATTGCAAACGAAATACACTCATTAATACTATATGTTCATACTGAATTAATCTATTGAAATGATCAAGTATTGTCATTTCTTGTTTATTTGCTTACAGTTGCATATCACTGACAACTACACTATCGAATAAATCATTAATGGGTGAAAAACAAAAATCCAAAGCTAAATCACAACAGAATACAATAATAATAAAAGAATCAAGTCAAACTACTATTAAACATGATGTGAACAGTATAAAATCGAATATTGACGCTATGAATGAAACAGTATCATGTAGTCTTAATCTATTGTATAACTGTTTATTACATCTTTGCGGGAATAAACAACCACCTGGTCTAGTGCCTACAATTAATCTGCCATTAGATAATCCTTATGAAGCATTGTCAATTGTTTACTTTTATTGTTCGGCATTGTTAACCTTTGCACGAAGGTTAGTTTTATTTTAGTGGGAATTTAGGCTTTCTTTTTTTCATTGTTTATGTAATGGTTGATAACATAAAGCTTAAAAATTAAGGTATTAAATGTTTCGAGGGAAATCATCAGAACACTTTAAACCTACGGTTTTCTGACAATTTGCCACTTGTCAACAAGAAGCATTTGGAATTTCGAAAGCAGTGACATCACTATAACCTAAAGGCGTTTACGCCTGAATCGAGCATAGGCTGCTGGACAGCATTCTCCAACCGATTGTTCTCATGTTTATCTACATGTTCTGTGTAATGTGCTTCTTGGTCTTCCTCTTTTGCGGCGGTCTTGAGGATTTTCGAATGAATTTAACTTAAGTTCAACTGAAGCATCGCTTATTGAATTAATGAATTACTTCTTTCATGAGTATTGTTTACAGGTTGGAAAATACCTTCTATTTTCCATATACATATATTACTGTTCAGTGTTTTAGTTATGTAGGTGTTGTGTTTCGCAAAGGATAGTGATGGTTCGGTAAATTTTTTTCATTAGTTCACAATTAAACACGATACTTGGTCAGACTGATGAAATTTCCAATGCGTAAAAACACTAATCTCAATAACTCTAATTGAAAATATCTTAAATATGCTCACTAGCGACTAGCGTCGTGAGGAAATTCCCTGAGTGAGAAGACCTGACCATTGGAGTTCAGCCCTGTCGGGTGTAGGCAGTAACTACCAAAGACAAATGGCTGAGGCCGTAAAAAATCCCTAGATCAATCAGAGTTAGACATTAACACCAATGGATACCGGCCCTGTGGTCCAGAGGTTAGGCATTCGCGTGCAAGACCGAATGTCTCGGGTTTGAATCCTGTGAGGTGCAGGAGTCATAGATGCTCACTGCTGATCAGTCCCATACCAGGACGAAACGGCCATCCAGAGCTTCCAGGTTTCTAATGGTGGTCTAAAAGTGATTGATTGATGATTTCAAATGTGTAAAAAAACATTAATCTCCATAAATCTAATTGAAAATATTAGTTTTACACGGTTTTTGTTACAAAGTAACATTACCTAGAGAGTAATCACAAGCTACGAAGTACTGAACACTCGTCTGTTCCTACCCAGGTGGATTTTCATGAATGCATACCCAAAACAGTACACAAGGTTGAGTTTAGGATTTTTACTATCGCTATGAGTAAATAACCATTGAATCGCTTAGCAGAAGTCTCGTGACTCACAATTTTTATTCCTGTTAGTCTGTAGCATAGCTCAACTTTCATCTATCTAATGGAATACTCCAAATTTTATTTAAAGTCATTACAACTTGAAAAAATCACTTGTTACTTTTCTATAGTTTTAAGCTCATAAAACACAGACATTTATGTATTATTCTTAATCAATTTTCCTTTAAATTTTAGTCAAGGTAGCTGTCTACCTCATATTCTACCGGAACATTTAATGGAACCGAATGATTATCATTTATGGCATAAATATGGATGTCCAGGTTTAACTGAATCTGCACGTACAGTTTATGCATCATTATCTCAAAAGAACAATAGCATCACTGTAACAGATTCGATGAAACCACAAAATGACGGAAATGACAGTCAATCAGACGATAAATTACTTATCAAAATAGACTTACTTCCATTGAGTGAATTTGAACTAGATCGATTTTTATTAATATCTGAAAGAGCTTGGACAGATTTATTCATACAACTCATTAAAGTAATCATAAATAGTAGTTGTTTTTTTTACGTTTGTTTCGTCATAGATATTGAAATTTAATGTTCCTATGATTTATTTTCTACTATGTATAACTTACATTTATCATCTAATGTCAACTTTCTCGATGTTGTTTTCTGTAAATCTCTAGAAGCTTGTAAACATATGTCAATAAGCTCAGTTTCATTCTAATTATTATTCGTTACAGAAACAACATTCCGTTTTGAATTTAAATGCATATCATCCAGTTTTCTAGTCAGAGATTTTGCCAATGACATATTTCAGTCTCCAGTGTATTCTTTTGTATTAAGTTGTTACACAGAAATCGATCATTTGGCAGTACTCAATATAGTTCTTGATGTTAATTAGGTTGTTTAAACAGTTCACTAAACGACTTTTTTTTTATTTGATGAAAAAAGTGTCCCTGTTTTGGTAGATGCTCAAATAACTTGACATTGTAGACTCAAATTAAAGTAATACTTTCTGCTCATTGATAACTAACCAGATATTTTTTCATCCAGTTTTTATTTTTGTTCAATGGTCAATATCAGCAGTATTTAGTGAGTTTTAAAACTGAAACTGAACTATGCTTACTTGTTCACCGCTTCCGCTACTTTTTTGTCAAAATATTTTAGTGTTTGGTGTTCAACCGTATAACCATCAGTTCGTTGGATATGATTAGCTTTCCATCAAAAGATCTTCTATTATACAAAACAAATGAATTGAAGTCTTCAACACCAACAGTTTCAAAACAATCTTCACCAAAAAATGAATCGAATAAATCAGATCAAATAGTAACACATACAATTCAATTGTTAAATCAAGTAGACAATGTACAAGGAGCAAAGTTAACAAATTCCAATGAAATTCAAGTGAACAGTTGTTATTCATTATGTGAACGTATTTTATTGGCTTGGTTAAATTATTGTTATCGTCAGTATGCTAGTCAAATATGGACTGAAAAGAAATCATTATTTACAAATAATAATAATAATTTAATTGTAACTAATTTTGATTATGATTTACGTGATGGAATTGTACTAGCATGTACTATTGGTGCCTATGTGCCTTGTCTAGTTAGTTTCATGAAATTGTTGTCATTTGTATTTAATTCGTACATGTTATTGTTTTAAGGGTTTTAATACTCTCTGCGTTAATCAAGATAATTAAATCATTTACTCTGATGAATGAGTAAGGTATTTCCGTGAAATGGAAAGATCACTATGGGGAATATAAAATATCAATTCAGATCAGTTGTTTAGTATGCAAGGGTTATAATATAAATTATGAAACAAGAAGTGTAAGGTTTTTCGGATAAACAGATTAGTATGAAACTTGGGTTTTCAATGTTTAACTCTTCTACAATTCAACAATCTGAAGTATATGGTCATTTCTTTAAAAATAATGTCACACATGGTGGCTACTAAAGTGGCCTCAAGTTTCCATAAGTAATATTGTTTGTCATTCGTTTTGATGCCTAATATAATACCTACTATGATGAGATCATGAAATCCTGGAGAACTGGATTTTTTTTATTCTTATTGTTGGATTTCTCAGTAATGTGCATCCACAACTCTAATGTGGAAATCGAATTTAGGATTGCCATCGGGTGCTTCCAGGGTATGAATGTTCATTCAACTTTGACTTGTTCATAAGTTTAATGCAATCCCATAATCCTCACGAAACCCTACCGACTAATATCTATTAATCAAAATAATTATTTCAACCTATTATTAACATTGGCGGTGGTACAACGATTTTCAGTACTAACATTATAACATTTTTAATGAGAGGAACCAACTTAACAGTTGATTATAAGATTATCAGCTCAATTGTGATTAACGTGTGAACCATGGTCAGTGAGAATGAACTTGTGAAACATTAAAGAAAAAACGTGCTATTCTTTTCACTAAAATGGATGGATTAATTATGAAGTTATCAGTTTGAACAATATTATCAGCTCTCACTTTTACACCAGAACCATTCATCACCAAAAAAAACATTAGGTTGTCTACTTTAAATGAAAGGCAATACTTGAAATCCGTTCTAGGTATATGGTAGTAACGAGATAATAGACCTTATTTAATTTAGGTTCTTTGTTTCATAAATTGATTATTTTACAAAATATGTTGTAATGATCCATGGTCCTGTTTCCATCACTGTGCTGGTCTCTAACATCTGACTTGTCCAGTAAATGAAGAAAAAAAAGACCAACAACTGAGTAAATGGTTTTTATAACTAAAGTCGAATATTTGTTTTTATAAATTCAGACTTCATATGTCTACAAATACAACTATCTTACTGAACAATTGAACGTACGAAATGAATAGCATCGGCTATATTGATTAAATATCGTAAGCTGTCTAAAGCCCGACGTGTAAACTATAGTATTAGGATTCATTGGTCTAAAGACCCGAGAGACGTCGAAAAAGTAATGAAATAAATTTGATAGCCAAACTGATAATTTCGTTTATTCACTCTAAAACCCAAACGATCTCAGGTAATCCCTTCTGGTAAGTTTCCAACTAGCACCAAACCTATGTCCTGTTGATTATCTCAAACCACCTATTATGCTAGCATAATGTACGCTACATAGAGTCACTCAAAACAGTGGTCACATAGCAACTTCATCGATAGGATTTGATTAGCACTAAAAGACTGAGAAACGTGATTTTGGTCCCTTCTGAGTGGTTAGCTGACAGTATGAATGAAACATTCATTCGAGATAATATAACAGTGGATTATTGATCAGTTAATAATTGACTGGCTTGAGATGAAAATAACGGTTACAAAACAGTTTAATATTATTCACCACTGATCATCATAACAAAAATGTATATATTAAAAATTAGAATAGAAAGCTAGTTCAGTGGTACTTAGTGTTTTCGTTGAAGTTTTACAGGGTGATTTCATAAATTACAGTCTTTTGTATTACTCTTATTATTTCAGATTCCTAATTACTTCTCCAAAATATACATACAACCTAATTCAGACGAACAATGTTTTCATAATGCGATTATCCTGGTACAAGCTTTAAGACTAATTCGTTTTGAATTTGATTTATGCCCATGTGATATAACAAGTCCACATCCATTTGGTATGGCGCTATTATGTTTACATTTATTTTGTCAGTTACCGGATTATTTACCAAGACAAACAATAAATTTTTCAGGTAAGATTATTTTAGTTATAACTTATGTTTGTTGAATAAGTTAGTATATATGTACATTGTTTTGTGAACAAGATTTATAAAAAAAAAGCTAAGCTTGGTAGTGTTTAGCAGTAGAATGCTCTTCAGCATTTCAGTGTTGATTTATACAATCAGATTCAGAAATTACTAGTAGCCAGCCTCGCATTCCACTGCTAACCATTATCAAGCTCCATTTTAATGTCCATGTCATTTGATGGCATTATCGAGGCAATTCACTCAGAATGTACGTATGCCGAAACAGATACAAATGGTCTTGTAAAAATATTTTTAAAGATCATAAAAACTGCTTTTAATGGTATGCAAATTGGAAGAAAATGAAATAATCAGTATTTTTTCTGGTGATCATACACTCATTTTGTCAATTACCATATGTCTGATTACAGTAAAGAATCGACGGTAGAAAGCATGTTAGACTAAAGTAAAACTCATATTTTATAAACATTTCAGCTTGTTCGAAATAAGTGTCATTACCAAGGTCTGACTTGATAGTTTCTAATAGATTGAGCATCGAGATGATTGTTACTAGTAGGAATAGTATAGTTCTGTTTGTCGAAAAACATTTTGAACAATTATTATCTTATATCCATATTCATTTGTATAAATGTTTACCACTAGTAGTCTTACTCTCATGACATCTCTTTCATTATGAAATAAATTTCGTGTAATAATTGTTTACTAATCGGTGATCGTTTCTTCAAGAGGATGGAGTATAAAAAATTTACACAAACTATTATGAAGGAATTTTCTGTTTCCTGAAAATCACCTTTCCAATAATGTATTAAATCATAAGTACACGTGGCTGACAAAATTAATTAGTCAAGTTCAAATAGGTAAATTCTGTGTCTCACATGAACGTTAATTCATAAGATCTTGAATTAGTTTGCAGCTTGCTGAAGAATTTTCAGAGTGATTAACAAGATGAGAAATAATTGCATTAGTAAAATTATTTTTTGTTAAATCTCTAAATTTATTCTGAAACTAAACCTTATCTCACACAGTATAACATGTATATTCATTATCCAAGTGACTAGTTGTTATGCTCGTCAATCGATATGCTTGAAACTATTACGAGTTCACTTTAGTCGGTAAACGAGAGCGAAGAGAAGTGATCTAGTGACACGATAGGCTACTCTAATCCGATTGTCCCCGGCCCTCCTAACTAAAGGAAGAAGTAATGATATGGCGTCGAAAGTGTATTCTAAAAGCACCCAGAAAATATGAGGTCTAGAAGCACACGAATCGAGTTTATTTATACATGATGAAAACGTCTTCGGGAGAGCCACAAAAATAGCGTACTAAGATAACACATCAACGAATTACAGTCAAGAATTTCCCGGGTGGGAAATGTAATCTCAAGGTCAACTGATCAGCACATGCTCGAAAGCATAAAATCCGAAATTAGGACTTTTATCAACTGAGTAATGCGGATCTAAAGTCCTCTACACTGTTATTCGATTAGTGGGCCTTGTAGAAACTGCTTTATTCTCTTTCACAATGCATAAATGGTGTATATTGAATAAAATTTGTCAGAAAAAAAATGTTTACTGATTTTGATGCACATCCGATTGAATTTTTTCCCATTTCATCTTTTTTGATTCTTAAGGTCTTTTGAATACGGTAACTAAACGTCAATTATTATTTACCAATACAAGTTCTCATATGTTAACTTATAATTGTGTTATCATTGGTCCAAATGCAAGTGATTTTAATTGTTCCATTGTTAATACTTTGAACAAAATGGAAAAAGATGAAACCAATAAAATGAATTCAAACAAATTTGAAGTTAAACAATTAAAATATCCAATGAATGATAATAACTTGCGGAATAATAATGATGCTAATACTAATGATCAATTATCTAATAATGTGAAAGAAATGAAAATAATTATACCACAAAAAGGAAAATTACAAATATGTCTTGAATATAAGTAGGTTTCATTGTAAATAATAACAATAATAGTAATAATACTAATAGTAGTGGTAGTAGTGTGGTGTACGCTACTTATGTCCACATGAGTAGTATATGATAACAAACGGAAATTAAACGTCTGACAGCAAAGATCGAGAAGGAAAGAATGAGAACAGAATGCGATTTTTAGGTAACGTAAAGTGAACTGAAATCCGAACAGTCTAAATGAAAGAACACTGAAATCATCCGCAAATGATGATGATGAAGGTTTTGTACATATGGTTAACAACTCTGTAATATTCGCTTACATATAGGTGTTGCTGTCCTCACCTGAGTTCTCGTGCACAATAGTAGTAGTACTTATAGTAGTATATAATAATTAATATCATTTGTTTATAATCTGCTTAAACAATCAACTTGTTTAGTAAAAGTGAAGTTACTAGCAATTTATTTTCTTGATCAAGCTGGTTAACCAAATTGCAGTCATTAGCATTGCTGAATTTGAACATGTTTATGTTTAAAAGTTACTTCTTTAAGTGACATGAATGGTATCTTAAACAGAACGCCAAACATAGTATAATTCGAAAAAATGATATTTTGTAAAAAATCATTTTAGTTTTCATAAAAAATGCTTTACTTTTGAGGCTATTCCTTTCAAGTCTGAATTGGTTATATCATCTGAATCCAACTGAATGAATTAGATGAATCACTTACCTTAAATAGCTGCTTTTAGTCTGATTGTTCTCCAATAGACCTACCTGGCATTATAGAACCAATCGGAATTTACGTTCCAGTCAATATAGCTCGATTGGGTCATCACGATAGGCAAGCCTGACCACCACGAGCATGTGGACTGAGACATGTTGGTAGATGTAGGCTACCTGTTTGGGGTCCGCGAGATGAAAGACACCGATGGTTGCAGACCTTGAACGACATGGCTCAAAATAGTTTGCAGTGGTGCAAATGCATTCACTCATTGTGTTCTCTCGAATTCTAACCTTCCAAATTCTTCATCACCTCTATCTTTCTCTTCCTAAAGTTATTTCACCAAAGTATACTTCTCGAGTCATATCTTTGAACCCTAATCTTCTCCATTACTGCTAATATTGCTACTATCTCTACCACTAAGGGATTTGAACTGGCAGCGTCTCTGTGTGCTAATGTGATGGTATGGCAACATGAACTTATGTACTCATGTACGAAGTTCCACATTGTAACTGACTGACTGACTGAATGAATGAGATGAATCTTTTAAATTGAGGATTATAATAGACGAATCATATATTACATTTTATTATTAAAAAATAAAACAACCTATATTCTCATTAAATTTTTGTTTATATTATCGACAGTGAAAGAGTTCATATCTATTCCAATAGAACACTTTATGTCATACTTATATTATTTAGAATCTGTTAAATTGTCAATTTGTTCAATAAAATCATTACATGCTGCAATAATCTGATGCAAGCCGAAGGGAAGTAAGAAAATTTGGTTGACATATGATTTTCGTAGAACATGACTGTTAAGTATGAATTTCAAGTATAAACATTATGGAGTATTCAAAACTGATAACCGATAACATCAGGTTCGGATGAGATAATCTAATGATTCATGAGATTATTTTTCTACTATTGAGCTCTAATATTTGTCGGTAGAATTTTATCATAGGATATTTATTTTCAGACATTTGTTAATTTTTTTCACATCTTCAGATGAATGACTTTACAGAGTACTAAGCAACGCGAATAATTAAATAATATTCTTATGTTTACTTGATAGAATTCGCTCGATGTTAAAAGGACTGAATAAAAATAGCATCAGTCAATGCTCGGTAATTAATTAATGTAAACACGAAATTTTCTGTTAAAACAAAAGATTATTTATTTAAAATTCTGACTGATATATATATATTTATCATTTATACTCACTGTTTTTGATTATAGTAACTCATTAATCAGAATAGATTTAGTTTTTGCATATTGAAACTCAATTGATTTCGGGTAGATTTGTAATTGTTGTGTATGATTTTGCGTAAGAGTCAAATTTTTCACTTCACATCATCTGGTAATTTCATTCTTATTATCCAATTCACTAATTAATAAATCTGTGCAAAAGTATTAATTATATCACACAATTCCTTATCTTTACTAATTCATTGTAGATCACGTTTTCTTAAACTAACAGAAGCAGTATTTTTAGCGGTTTCTCAACGTCAAAATGGACTGCAAGGTAAAACTATATCATTTATACTTTCAGGAATTGTTGGTGGACTTGATACACTTGTAAGTGATCGAAATAATTGTATTTTGCATTGACTAATCACATTAATTTATGTAATTTAGTGGTATGTTTTTTGTTTAAATTTATTTGAATATTCCCCATAGAGTTGAACAAAAACATTTACCATAACTTGTTTGACAGAATAGTTTTGAATGTTGGGTGAATGATACAAAATTTTAATGATAAGAATTATAGACTAGGAGTGGAAGATTTTCCGAATATTCAATTAGTTGTCTTAATGGACTTTATAGATGTCTGTGTCTTTCTAACAAAACCAACAGAAAGACCATGGGTTGTTATAAAACCACTCGTCTCAGTTAAAATTTAGATTATCTGAAGTGATTTGGTGTTTTACTTATGCCTAACCACCACTTGATGGGCTTACGTAGTAGTTTGGACAAAAGTTACGAGACAGTCAATTCAAAAACTGATATCAGTTCATAAAAAGTATCAGCTATCGTTCTAAACAGTTTAGCCACCTATATGGCAGATCAAACACTCAGAGTCAGTGTGATGACCATGACCAATGGTCAGAAACTCTGGGTGATACAAAACAGGATAGTTTGATAACAATTTTGTTAATCACACTACTATCGTGCATTTACTCTACCTATTACTCAAATGACATGATTTTGTTCATCTTACATTACGAATATCTTATCAAAGTAAATAAATAAAATTAATTTTCTGGGCTAATAGACTGGAAATAGATGTAGTTTTCAAATTCAATTTTTACAATGACTTATACTTATTAACTTCCAGAATACTTGTACACTTTCTAGTTTTGAATTTCATAGCATGAACTGTATTTTTTTTACATTTCCCTTCAACTTACAAGGATAAATATCGAAAGCACTTTTCTATTCGTCTTCTCTATCTAATTTCTTTCTGTTAGCCAACTAAAATCATTAATTCACCTTGTTATCAAAAGACAGAATTTACAATACCAATTATAAATCCATACAAATTGAATGGTACATTTAATATTAAAATAATTGAAAGTTGTAATGATTTATTCAGTGCACTATGTCAAACACAAGGTTTAAATGTCAAGAAAAAAGAATCAAATTCAGAGAATTTATTATTGACTGAAACATATTCTGTGACAGAAAGTTCCTTGGATCAATCATCATCGGAAAATAGTCAATTGCCGATAGAAATCACGAAAGGTGAGTTCACTGTTTACCGACAATACTTTATAATCATCAACTTGACATTCATTGAAAGATTAATAAGATATGTAAGATGTATCAGCAGACGATTTGGCCAAACACTCAGTGGAAACCCCTCAATATGGTTTAGAAAAGAGCAGACAAAGACAGTAGTAGCAATAGTTGGTATTTTGTTATCTGTTCATACCCACTGATTAATTCGTAAACAACAGATTACAGTTTGATTGCTCAGTTAAATGACTCAACATCTCCATACCATCATACGTTTGATAGCTGATATATAGATCCAGGTCCGAGTTTATTGATATTTGAAACTACTTAGCATGGTGCATCTCAATTTTAGAGGAATCAACATTATTCATGCTATTCAAAAACTTGTTAAATAGTGAAATAGTGGGTGATGTTACAAACTATACCATTTACTCAGCAGCTGGTTTTCTTTAGGACCATTTATTGTCACTGAATTTCATCGTATCAGTTCTGAACTGAACGCAAAGAATCAACTTGTTCATGACCACAAATAAATTTCGGTAATCAGTGTTCAATTAACTAAGGTCTGTCTATACCAACCTACCTATTGTTTTCAAATATTTAACATGTAACAACGTCAACTTCATATCTTGGCTAATGACTATGATAATCATTTTAACTATTTAAGAATACTATCAAAGAAATCAATATCAAGCATTTCATTGTCGTGAAAACACTATTACTCTATGCGGAACTACCAATGATCATCGGACAAATTCACATCTGATCAAGCAATCAGATAACAAAATGAAATTTAAGCAAAGGCAACAGCAACAACAACAACAAACAACAGACAATGACAAGCAAAGAACAATCAAAGAACTATCAATTATTTATTTACCCTTAGGATGGGGTACAAGACAATGTTGTTTATTATTATCGAATGAAAAAATTGGTGAATTTGTTATCCTATTGAAAGGTATTGCTCAATTACCACAACCAAGTTTATTACCGTTTACTGAACAAAAAGAAAGAGGATATCGTATTAAATCTGCTGTTGCAGCTGCTTGTAAGTGCGATTTCTATTATCTGTGATTAAGTAGGAATGGTCATTACAATTTTTTTGCAACAATATTTACTAGAATCTTTATCACGTGATTTTTGTTTTCTTAATCCAATGCATCTGGGCTGATCTTCCTGAGAAAATACACAGGAATTAGGTCTAACCATCGGTTATTGTCAGTCTCCAAATAACCGACAAACTGGTTTTCTCCTAGGTCGAAAGCAACTATCGGTGAACCCATTATTTTAACTTCCTGAAACTTGACGATGATAATTTCCCCGTGGTACGATGTTGAGAAGTCTAGGGTATTTTCTTCCGTACTCAATATCCTATATGATTATTGACTGACTGAACTATTAAGCAAACACTTTTTACTTCGCAACTTCAAATTCGTTTCAGTAAAGAAAAAGTTGTTTAGCTTTAATAAACATTTAAATTATACTAATAATCTTTTAAACTGTATCATACTTTGATTTTAAAGCTTTCGGTCGATCAGGTGATCCAAATGTTATATATTTCCGATGTCCAGTAGGCTGTGAAATAAAAGAAACATTATGGTTACCAGTAAAAAATGATTTACGTCGGACAGCATTGTTAAATGCTATTCATATTCGACTTCCACCATCCGAATTAAAACGTTGTCAATTAGCGAATACACTTGAATCAGACGAGTTACTTGAGTTAGCTAATAAAAAATTACTGTTACCTAATTTCGATCGTAATTCATCAGAGAAGAAGTTAAGATTTCAGGTAAAGATTTTATTACTTTTTGATAACATTTTCCAAAATACATTTTAATTAGATATTCTCACTTTTGTAACACATCACAGTGTCTAAGCAAAAAATATTCTCAAAAAAGTTTCTCAAGATTTCACAGTCAAGTTCGTATTATTAACTTATAGAACTATATCACTGAGGAAAACGTAATTTTTCTTCAGCATACAAAAAGCAGATTTAAGATTGTAGGTAGTTTCTGTCTTGATAGTTTTAATCGATGTTGAACTAACAAATATTCATCGATTATTCCAATCAAATACTTGATAGATTGATGGTGAAGTTATTAAAAAAAAAAAGATAGTAACATAACTTTAATCAAATTAAATGTATTGTGGTGCGCGCTACTTATAAGTAGTATATGACGCGAGTGTAAACATAATGTCTGGCAGCGAAAGATGGGGGTAGATCAAGAAAGGAAGAGTGGGAACACAATGGAATTTTTATGAAACGCATGAATAAGTGAAATGTCAGACAATGGACTGATGATGGGTTGAAGATTTGCAAATTAACGGTTACGATATGGTTTTCCTATTTTACTGAGTAACTCTGTAATTTTCGTTAAATACAATTCGGTTGCCCTCACCTGTGTTCTCCTTCACTACAGTATAACTAAGTATTCCGTAATGTATAAAATAATGGAGTAAAAAAAATGGAGTAAATTTTGAGGAAATTAGACTGGTTTTTTCCTCAATTCATATTCTTAATACTTAACCTTGAAATAGTCGTTGGACTTGCTGATCATAATAACTGAAACAAGTTAGATTTAAAACGAAAGACACCTGAACGCATCTTACACTGTCACAATTCAGCATCTGCTGCGATTGGGCTCAGACAGCTGTCTATTTCTGATAAACACTAAAATGAAGCATAAGGAAAAACATCTTTTGATATAGCTACCCCCAAAATGGACTCCATACTGGACTGAAACAGACCATATTGCTATTAGCTATCGTTGGAGAGGCTTGTTAGGAGACTGTTGCTTCTTTTGGAGCACATGGTTACACTGGGATCATGCATGCTCTAGTACGAGCTGATATTTCTCTGTGTTCTACTGAATATAAAACGTCCATAACATGGACTTAATGCGAAAAAAGTTAATAATATAAATAAACATTCAATTAACCATGTCAGTGTTATATATTCGTAGTCAGCTTGGAATGATAACCGAAAAGCTATAGAAACACTAGTGATATCTATCAATAACTTGAACCAAAAGGTTAAGAAATACCAGTGAACTAGAGTGGCAACTGCTGAACTCATAAATGCTTAGAAACCCATCCCATCAAACGGAGGCAGCTTTGATACAGTCTGATAGAAAGCCTACCCAATAACTGTGAACAGTGGTGATCACTGAAAGCGAAAAAAATAAACAACTGTTCAGATTTATCAAGGAAACTGGTATTAGATATTCGAGTGTTGGTTAGACTATCTCGAAAATAGTTGAAACTGTTACTCATTCTTGATTCAGGACTTTGAGCCGATAGGTAGACTACTTTAGCGAACAGTTCAGCCGCATTTCAGTTACCTCTCAGCTACTCACCATCCCATAAAACCTAAATGGTCAGTTGCTGTAAGTCATCCAATTCTTAATGAGGTTGAAAAGGCCATAAGCAATCTAAAGGAAGGAAGAGCAACAGAACTTGATTGATTAAGCCTTGAGTTTTCTAAGGATGATAGTTCATTTCTAGCAATCGGATTGAATGAGATCCTAAGTAGAATTTGGGAACTGGCCTCATCCACTGATTGTGCCAGTCTATAAGAAGGGACAAAAGTCCTCTTGTGACAATCACAGAAGAGTCGCTATAACTAATATAGTGTCGATATATTAGCTTCAATAATACTTTAACGCCTAACGAGAGCTCATGAAGAGCATACTCGAGAAAAGCGGGCTGGTTTCCGACCTGGACGTCACTTTATAGACCACATATTTACCCTACGTCAGAACCTAAAACACAAACACACACTTCAGCGTCCGACAATAGTTGTCTTCCTGGACTTTGAAATGACATTCAACTCTGTCGTTCGTAAGGAATTGTGGCATTGTCTGTCATTGAAAGATGTACCGAAGAAGTACATTAACCTTATACAGGTTCTCTACTCGAATTCTACTGGTCGAGTGAGGGCTTACGGTGAACTTTCATCAGAATTCTTTACTTCAAGTGGTGTCCGTCCACTTTCTCCGTTCTTGTCTAACTTTGCCACTGACATGCTTTAAGATACGACACTTTCATCATCTGACTTTTCAGGAATTGAACTCTTACCGTAAGATGCACTTGCTGCTGTATCAGAATACACAAACGACATAAGTTTGTCTGTTGAAAGTCATATCAAAACATGACACCTATCCATGAAGTCATTGACAACTGGATTGAGCCATGTTGGTAAGTTTAGGCTTGTTGGTTGGGACTCTCGAGACAGCAGTAACCGGTGGTTAGAGACTTTCAATGACGTGGCTCAAAATCGCTTGCAATGGCGCACGTGCATTCATTCTTTGTGTTCTCTCACATTCTATTCTGAATTCCTCATGAAATTTATCTCTCTCTTTTTAAGTTTATTTTATTGGATTAAACTTGTTGCATAATTTTTTCAAACGCTAATCTTCTCCATTACCTTTAACTTTTACTACCTCTACCATTATGGGATTCGAGTTGACAATTCCAAAAGCACCAAGTCCTACTTTGCATCTAACTGGCTGAAAATTTCATTGTTAGTGCATTATTTTGAGTCCTTCTCTGTCCATCTGCTTGTTTTGTTAATAAGGTACCATTCGAGGCAAAGTACAATTTTGCTATCTTCTGTGTTGTGTTATGACTGACTGACAATTTCCCGACTATTTGTTATGATTAGAAAATGCTAGAAAAATGGACTACTGTAATTTAAAGTTTTAATTTTCATTTAAAAAGAAAAATCATTTTAATGAACTTAAATCATTTTCAGAATAGGTGTTACGACTATATCGCTGCTATGCAACAGATAGTTCTTTAAAGTGGCTAGTACTTGCAAGTACCATAGATAAATGATGTATATTTCGTAGTAAACATAATATCAGTATAAATATGAAATTTTTCATTTAACTTTCACTTAAACCGGTTTGTTTGATTTTTTTGGATATTCCTAGAAAAGATTACATTTATCTCGAAATCTAGTATATAGTGTAGAAATCGATTCCAATATCATCAAAGTCCCACCAAAAATTCATGTACCAATTCCCATGGATTCAGGTAAGAAAATGTAACAACAATAATGTCATTTGCTTATTGGACTGGTAATATTGGTGAGGTAGATTTCATTTAATCATAAGTTTTGTTATTTTGAATTGAACTAATGAACTGCTATTAACAGGGTAAATCTGCAATCATACTCAGAAATAAATAATTTAATAAAACTGAAACCAAATGCATTTTACAACTCACTAAAAGGTTGTCAGTCTTTTTATTCAGTAGAATACTGTACAATAAATTTTGCTTGTAATACGTTATTCATTTTGTAGAATTCACATTTTATATATAAATAGGTACTTAGAATAGTTTTTGAAAATGTGCCTTCGTTTGTTTATCTGATGATCGAATTATTTCCGTTCTATTTCAGATTACGTCCTGACAAGTTTGCTTACCTGTTGCTTACATATTTCCTTGTAACCGCATACAAATATTCTCATCTGACCCATGGTTTACTCTGTCTAACGAAGTATGAATCATCAGTATTTAGGTCATTAAGTACCTAACAATACGACATATCAAAAAAGACAAGTTCTCAGGAAAAACTTTCTTTCTTAAAAAACTAAATGGAAGAAGGGTTGAAGGTTATCTTAACATATTCACTTGAGGACAGTTAAAATCAGAAACTATTGAGGGTTTGCTTAATTCAGAATTTCAGTAGGCCAGTAACATGGCTCTACAATCCGAAAATGAGATTGAACTTCATGATATAAATGTTTTACAGCGGGCAAGATACTTTCATTCTACTAAGTCGAAGAACAGTGATTCACATGTTCAACTGACTGAAGTCAGTTTGTGACCTAATGTAAAACTCACTCAAGATCACTGATCACTTGGTTCATTTCACGAATCATAGTTTCCTAATGGAAATTTGGGAAATCTATTTTCAATCAAGTCAATGGTGCTTCGAGAAACCGAATTAGCTGAACCATGTATACTCAGTATCTCACGTAGTTTAAATAGGTCATATGATTGATCATGATTCCACTCTTGTAGTTTTGTTTAAAAGTTGCCTAGGACGAATACTTAGGTTTGTTGAAATTTTAGTTATACGAAAGTTCACCTCCTCCCGATTTATTTAAAAATAATGTGTACTTGCATTAAACCTATACTGGTAATATTGATTACAATTTAATATCCGCAGCGATGTGATTTATGTTGCGTTATTTGTAATACCTTCATTTTTCTTATGTTCTCTTAATTCGTATATTAGCATTTTAGCTAGTAAATATACAACCAGACCATTCTAAATGTATAACGCTAGTAAATATCCTATAGTTTTATTCGACTTTGTCTTCATATTTTATTAGCCAACTTGACCGAAAATACTGACTGTTCTCTATTACGATTTAATTAATCTAGTTATTTATTCGATGAATGAACACTGAGTAAACTTAAGGCCTCCGATAACTATCAATTTTGTGGGGATTCTAGGTTTATCTCACTTAAGCAACATTTTTCCAGTACTATACGGTATGTTTCTAACGTCCACTTGATAAACTAGATCAGAAAATTCCGAATATGATGCAGTTCATTTACAATCATTGTTTTGGCATAATAAACATTGCAATATTTAAACTGGGGACGAAATTCACTTGTACTTCACACATAAAGCTGTTAAAAATGAAACAATAGTTTAGGCAAGACAAATAGTAGTGTAGGGTGTCGATTTACTGAGTGTTCTTAATGTTCGTGATTAGCTCGTCCAGTCAACCGTTACTAAATAGCGTCCGACGGTTTATAAATCAGAAGGTGAACGCAAAGTGTCGAATACGTTTATTTGGGACACACCACAAAGCGAAGCGAAGAAACAGCGAATAAAAGGGATGAAGCGACGTGAATTGGAGAAGGCTGTTGAGCCAACTTCCCAGGGGCAGAGCGTGACTAAGAATATATAGTCAGACAAATATAAGACAGACATGCGACAAGCGAAATAGGCACACATGAATAAAAGTGACGAATAGTTGACAAGGTCAAATGACAAGTGGAACACGTCATGTGAGCTCATACAAACCAGACAATGATAAGAACGAATGGTACATATAAATTGTTGCAATACAAATAGCTTGGTTAAATAAATTGATCGAAAGGGCTTAACCAAATTAAATGTAAGCGAACTCGAATATATGTGGAGGCACTACAGCAGTAACAATCTCTTTTTCTCTTTCATAGATTCTGATGACACATTTCCACTTCCTCTCAAATTTTTTGCTGATAAACCTGGTTTAACTTCAGCTAAACTGGTAATTCAAGGTCCAGATGATATTCGACTTTATCGTATTGAATGTGTAGCTTTACCTGGTAATGAGAAAATTGTTTTAACATTCACTTCACCATTAAATCATCCCATTACTCAACCAATACCCATTGTTAATAAAACAGCATATGATTGGGAACTGTCGTCACAGTTTACAGGTAATCCCGTATGGTTTACTGGACCACTCACTATAAATGTACCATCGAATTCAACAGTTCAATATTCTATAACATATTTTCCTAGAAGAGAGGCTGAAAGTCATGTATGTTTATACCCTTTCATGTTTATTTCATAAACACACCACATTTTAATTTGTTTATATATAGAAATTTGGAATAAACAAACAGAATATATCAATGAAAGTTTTGAAGATGGTTCAAGTATGAGGATGCTGTTCTTATAATGATCTCAGAGAATCGATAATTAAATATAGTGGTGAATCTTAGATTTCTAAACCAAACTGGTACACTTGATATTTTCACTTGACCTCGATTCTCAAAGGAGAGAGCGAACTTTAGAACCACGATCTGGTTCAATCATTGCGTCTTACATAAATCTTTCCTACCGTCTCAAGCGTCCAGACTGAAGCCGAGTCGGGAACTTACTTTAAAATTGAATTCACATTTATTGAGAAACAATGAACTGAAGACATAAAGAACTTTATGGTCTACGTCCCAGTTAACTTTTACCGCTGGTTTATAAGCTTAATGGATCAACGGGTAGAGAAATTTCCTAAATTCATCCTGTCTTCACTTGTTACACTTAAACAAAAACACTGATGTAACCCGATTCAAGGAAGTAAACAGAGGCTATAGAATATTTATTTGACTCCAAAAATAAATCGAAATTATATCCGAATGCATCGATTTTGATGAAACTCACTTACAGTGACTGATATTCTGATGTGAGTTAATTAAAATAGGTAACACGAAGTGGAAACAATTTATTGTAAGAACATAATTTACAGTGTCATAAGACTGAACTCCTTCCTAAGGAATTTTAGATTAATACTATCTATTGTAACGCTGCTCATTCAGTTTCGCGTCAGGACAAAATCAAGGCGTTAGATTTTGAATAATTTTCTCCAAAGCATCTTATGAAATTACCTCTTTTGTTTTTGCAACGAGAACTTTCATAACTAATATTATATAGAACAAAAAGCTACAAAATTGAGTAGTCCAGGATATCTAACTCCGATTTGGACGAACAAGTGAATATACTATGAAATAAGTCTTTCCTCTAATTTCAGTTTACTACTCTTAATCTAATCCCGTTTGTGCGATGGCGGTAGTTAAATCCCGAAATCATTTTAGTTGGATGAGTCTGCTTCACTTAATCGTTCATCCAGACAGACATGAAGATAGAAGGCGAAAACACAAAGCAACAAGAATAGAAGGAGAGTGAACCAACTCTGACGTGATGAGGCATGGCAAAGTATTTATTGTCAGAGAAAAATAGAAGATGCATGTAAGAAGCAAAATAAACAGTGCACATACAAACTCAAATAAATGCAACCAATCTTGTAAGCGAATAATTGATAGGGTCAAAAGACATGGATAAGCCATGTAGACTCGACATATTATTATACATCACAAACCATCTAATCTCTAGCCTTACTTCATGCTATATATTGTACAAGGTGTTATCTTTATGTGTTAGCTTTAAGTGTATACATCGACTACTGTTTTATCGTTATTTATTGACTAGAAGCTCAGCTACTGGTATTTATTTTAATTAATTACACAATTTCATTAATTTAATCCAGTAAACATAGATTTGAGTTGAATGAAGACACTAAATTCCGACATTATGATATATGCGAAATAAGTGAGTTTACCGGTGGAAGCTCACTTAGATCATCTATTTTAAAATCGATAGACAACCTCTTTACAGAAAAGAAAATATTCTGGGACCCAACTAACCTACGAATGCTGGTTTACTTGCTAGTAACTAACTTCCAGATCGATTTCCGATAGTACAGTGAGAAGCCGTTACCTGTGAAATTAACCAAGTAGATAATATGAAAATAACTTATCAACAGCACTAGATGGAGATCGTGATACAGTGAAAACTATTTCAAGCGGATAGTGTAGACCACTAATTTTCCACATGTTAGCCTTCAAGTATAATGGTCGCTTCTAGGCTGAAAAATCTCTAATTTGAATCAATGTTAGTTCTTAAGTGTATACTGTTGATGGGTCTTAAACTAAAACCAAATAGTTATCGTATATTTCCTGGTTTCCAGTGGTCTTCCAAATTCTGTTAAAATAACTTCTTTAAAAATTACATATTCCCCACAGAATCATTCAGAATCATGGTAAGCATTTTATATTTGATTCATTTAACAGACTGAACTTGTTCTTCGAAATATTACTGATGGCAGTCAATTAGAATATCGTTTGAACGGGATTGTATTGAAACCGCTTTCACTTGGAAAAATTAATCTTGAATTTACGATTAATGCTTGTGATGTAAATGGTGAAATATGCAAAATTTCAAAACACACTCAGTTACAAACCTTCACACTTAAAGTACCCAACCCAACTTCAGTAAAGCAATGTTTTAAATTGCAAACAAATTTACCTAAAGGTCTTGTTGAATGGATACCAAGCAATCAGAAATATACGGATCGTATTGAAGTTTTATCTGGTCGTACCGATGAATGTAAATTTCAAGTTACTGCGTCAAAGCGAGGATCCTTTCACGGCGTTATAGTTTTCGTTGCAGATACTCTCAGTAATAAGTAAGCCACGAAGTTTTAATGAAAATTTATTATTTTAAATAACTAATAGTCAGGAGAAATTCTGCATAAAACACTTAAATAGTGTTATAGAAGTCTTAGTTACATGTCAAATGAAACAATCAACAGTTAGCTCTAAATAATAGCTCTAGCTGTCTACCCGAACCGAATCAGGTTGCTTTCTTAAATGGCCACTTAGCGAGATTTAAAACTAGGGGTCATACCTGCTGGTCAGAAGATACAGTCCCATGAGACCGATAATAGCTTTGCCCTCCATTTTCACCTCCATTTCCCAACTTCCCACCTGGCTCCTTCGTACCCACTACCCCGATTAAAATGTCGCACATCCACATTTCATCCCCTCACTTTTGTAAACGATACCCTCGTAACGAGAAGGCAGTTAGTCCGACTTCCCTGGGAGTGGCTATGTAGGCAAGCCTGTAAGGAGCATCTGGAGGAGGAGAGCGGATTCTCCCAACTCTCGGTTGTGCCATGGGATTCGAAGACTGGGACAGATTTTACGAATAATAACTAACACGATACTGAGATCTATAAATTTCTGTAAAATCGCATTGATATACTTAGCCAATAAGTAGCGATTTGATGGGCAAGCGGTTGGATGTGCGTCAGAGATAACCTAAGGGACGGATGCATATCACTGGTTTGGAAATGGCTTTTTTCTAATGAAGTGACTACATAAATATGGACAAGTATTTATTCGGTGGTCAAAAAGATCTTATCTTCTGCTCTTTGCTTTCTTGCTCAAGCAGCCAGGTTGGGGGATCAGAGTTTATCTCCTCTATAGCTTGGCACCGCACATCATGACGTATCAAACTATCTAAAACTAAATAAAGTGTATCAGGACTGGGAAGAATTCGTTCACTCCTTACCATCCCTTGAATCACTTTGAATTCGTCTAACGTGGGAAGTCATATTTTCTTTTCAAATTACATTGCTTTTGCTTAATTCTTTGTACCAACACTGTCACTGTAACTGCTTCTACTATTCTGACATTCGTTTTGATGATTTCATCATGCTGTACTAATTTTGTTAAGAAAATTGAATCGGTGTACATAAATAACAAATCTCGCCCAACTTATTATTGACTGTGATATCAAGTTACTGAGTGTAGTGAACATATATAGCGATTTGACCAATAGGTTTAAGATCAACTCTCTAAAGACTGGCCAATATCATAATAATAGTTACTGATCACATGTAATCAATTCGATGTAAATTCTTTTCATCTATTTTCATAATTATGTTATGTTACTTTGTTTTAATCAGTTCAGATAGTGATGGTGAAAATGATAAAGAAACATCATCAACATTTATGAATAATCAAACAAATGAAACATCAAAAACAATAAATGAATTAGATGTAAATTCTAATCAAATTTATCGACTTTGGTATGAAGTAGAAATTCAGATTAAACCAGGTATTTTGAACTTTAAATATTTACACCTCTTGATTGTTATGGAGTCAGAAAACTTTTTTATTATTTGAAGTTGAAAATATAAGCCCAATGTAGCTTGATTAGGTGATTTTATAATTATACTGCTCATTACACTACCACAAAGCTCTACGTCTGATCTTATATGAATTCATAAGTCACGAATACAAGATGAAAAAGCTCTTCAGAATTGTGGTAGTGTTTCGTTCTCAGAGTCGGATGTTTTGATTGTGAAGCTTTCATTGTTCTTCTGAACAACATCATCAGCACAAACTTCAGATAGATGTGAAGTATTCGAATTTCTGCATGTTTAACAAGTAGCCTGTTCTGTTAACTTCAATCTTCAGCGTTTTTGTCAATCACGCTCTGTCTGTTGTCGAATAATCAAGAAAATCATCTTCACATTGTGTTTATGTCTAGAGTTGTGAATAAATTAGACTTAAAATAAGTTTCACATTACGGATTGACTTCAGTTATAAAGAATATGTGTTTAAAGCTGTTCCACTCTCAGTAGATCATGTCCACCATCCTACAAGTGATTAAACTCAAAACTTCTATACTTTATGATGAGTTCGTCAAATATCATCAAATTATTAAGTCGCCACAAAATTTTCATATTCTTTTTCATCCGGTTACGCTCTTTTCAGTTACTCATGGTCTATAATATTTGAATATAATTACTACTAATAAGAAGCACTATAATTTGAAAAAAAATACTGAAATTGATCTGACGTTGGCTTAAACGACTGTCACCTAAGTGTATGAGATGTGTCAAGAATTGGTCATATTCTTGTAACAAAATGTTGGGGATGTTAGATCCCCAGAACTCACTTGGAAAGGTCCTAATTTTGTAATTTTATTCTGAAATTTTGAATTTCCATGTTTTTGCTCCAGCTTACATTTCCCGCTCGGAAAATCTTTGACTATCATTGGTTGATGGATTTTTTTAGTACGCTTTTTTGTGGCTCTCCCAAGGACATTGCTATCATTGTATAAATAAGCTTGATTTGTGTGCTTAGCAACCTCGTATTTTCTGGATGCTTGTAGAATACATTCTCTACGCCTTATCAAGACTTCTTGATCTTGTTAGCAGGGCCTGGGACAATGGATTAGAATAACCTAACGTGTCACTGAGTCGTTGCTCTTCATTTCGTTTACCGAGTAAGGTGAACTCGTCATAGCATTCAAGCATATCAATTGACGAGCATATCACAAAATTACTTACTGTTGGTGTTTGATTGAAAACAATAGAACTTATTATATACTTTAAGCAGCAGTAAGGCTATCTTGAACAAATTAAAATATAAAGTTTTGAAAATAAAACAATTTCTTTCACACTGATGATACTAGTCTACTTAGAATTCATTATTATTTTTATGGCTACATTTGATCTCATTTCCATATGAATTACTAACTAGATTTGTCTTGAAATAGAATTTATTAGTAGACAGAATTCTCTCTACACAGGAAAAATAGGTTATTCTGCATACAAACCAAAAGCCTGAATAATTTTCTAGTCAAAGTTAAATAGAGATAAAGTCTGGTAGTTTTATTTCATAGAACTAGTCTTTTTTTTATCCGTTTTGTACCTTACCGTCATAAATGATTCGTATTTAAGTTCATTCAACTTATGTATTCTCCAGAAAATACTTGTATATGTATCGTTAGTTTATTACAGAATCTTTTTGAAAAGTAAATAGTGTATGAAAGGAAACTACATATATATGAATGTCCATTAGAGAAAACGGTATTTTTTATTTCATAAATTTCATAGCTAATATGTACAAAAATAAAATGGACTATAATTCATTTTAACTTTAAAATATCACTTTCTTCTGTTTACACCGTTTCACATAAGTTTCACTGTGTAAAACCTTTTCAATATTCACGATTTTAAAACAATTATCACGTTTGACACTATGACACAATCATCGACTTATAATGCTTTTTTTTTCCATTCCGTTAAAAAGGTCCACCTATTAAACAAATCGAAATCATCTGTCCATGTCTTAGTTCTAAAACAGTTGAATTACCATTTACTATACAATCAGAAATGTTTAAAAATAAACAAACCATTGAATTTGATGTAATAATTGAAGATAAATGTTTGATAGGTCCAAAAACACATTGTGTAAATACTATTGACAGTTCTGGTAAAATTTCATCCGTTTATCAATTGAATTGTATTCCATCTATTATTGGAACTAGTCATTCAGTGTAAGTTCAGCAATTTATTATTAGGTGTAATTCTTTTTCTGTTCGGATATTCATTAGACATCCTGAGCGAATTATTTGTAAGTCTAGTTCTATTGGTCAATTCCTATTGATCGGCCCAACTATCAATGTCACAGACTTCAGTGATGCTTCCTACCCGACCTAACTGTATAAATACGCATTATCTATAACGTTTTATGACCCGGATCCTAAGTCCAGGATCCTTATCCTCTTCTGGACCCGGACCACGTACTTTCTGGATGCTTGCAGAATACACGTTCTACTTTATATCAAGTCTTCTTCTTCAATTTAATGGAGGTTTGGGACTTTCCGATTAGAGTAGTCGGTCGTGTCGCCAGATCACCGACATGTTTTATTATGGCAATCAAGTTCTTTATGTTATGGATTCTAGTCTATGCAAACACACTATAGGTTCACTAACACAGCTGCTGAATATTTCGACGTACGAATACCAGTGCAAAATCCTTTACAGTTCTCAGTTTAATAATTAAAATACCAAGAAGTTAGTTATCTTCTTTTAGACAAGACTTTAAAACTATAATGTGATTCGATGCATAAATTACGTCCTAAAAAACCGTAAATCTAAATGTACAGAAAACTACGATATTTTTCATACAAATTCGAGAGACGGGTTTATGAACAATTAAATGTTATCTAAATAATCATGAGTCCTATACATTAAAACAGTTATGAAATAATAAGAGCTTATAAAAGAAACCCAGATATCATTATTAACATATCAAACTGTGAGAAAAACGCCTGAGAACATCTCCAAGATGGCCTTTATGAATTGAATAAAAAAGCGAAACGATAAACAATACTTGACAAACTCAACGTTGAAACGAACACAGTTTTACAATCGATTCAAATGAAACTAGCACTGTCATTATGGTCCAGATTATATCTGAAAATTCTATGGACTGCTTAAGACTCAGAAGGTTAACGCACCACTAAGACCAGTGGTTGGTTTCACAAATTCGCCAACCTAGAAACTAGCAAAATACTTGGCTAGCAAACTCAAACTACATGACGAATTTGTCAATTAGGGAATTAAAAACTCTATTGATTTCAACAATATCGATATCATTCACATGGAAGATGATGAAGTGATGTCAAGTTTTGATGTTTCTTCCTAAAGAAGGCAACAATAATTTAGATATTAATGTATTTTGGAAATCAACACATTCTTGCAGATACTGATTATATTGTGAACTTTTCAAATCATTTACATCTTATTGACTCATGTCCTACTTACTAAAGCCAACATATGAATATGATTGGATAAGTATTTGGTGTAGATCCGATTCGATTGTTAAACCCTTTATGTTTTTGAGTAAATTTGATTTCGGTTAATGCCCTGACAAGGTCCAGATAAGTTTGTTAGAATAGACATTGGAATTACCTTAATTTCTATCACTAAGATTATTTTAAATATAATTTTCACAAATAATGTATTATGTTTACTCTGAGCCCAATTTCGTTAAACTACTCGTTGAAATATTGGCGAATATTCGTATACATGTAATATTAGCTGTTGTGATTGAAAATCTAAGACAAATAAACATTTAGCATTGGGACAGTATGGCAATACCACAACCCAATTATTTAATACATACCCAAAATACATTGAAGGTGTTGAGAATAGCTTTCAGAGCTTCATATTTTCAACTGTTCAATCAATCCTAACATTTAATCAAATTATTTGGTTATTACTCGTCTCTATTTAAATGGAAAACTGTCCATCCTTATAGATTACACTTGATAGGTGTATAATCATATTGAACACATCAATAAAGTATTCATTATTAAGAAGATATAGTTTATAAACAAAAAAAACTAAACAACTATGTATTTTAGTGTATTCTTCTATTTATTTCTTATGTAGTATAATTTTTAACAATCCAATGTGTGGTGAATTTTGGATTGAACTAATCATCAAAGCTATCAAACCAGAAGTTGTCAACATACCAATGATAGAAGCTGAATTAGGAAGGTAATCAATCCACAGTAAATAAATGATTACTTCAATATTCTTTGAATGATTATTATGTCTCCGATGCATTGCTCGTGTATCATGGGACAACCGAGTAAGCAATGCTGTCGTTAGGAAACGAGTTCTTGGTAGGGACGGCAAATCAATAGATGAAGTAGTGAAACTTCATCATTTCAGGTGGTTGGGACATGTGTTACGTATGCCCAACCACCGACTGCCTCGACGAGCTATGTTTCGCAGTATAGGAGTAGATTGGAAGAAAGCTAGGGAAGGCCAGACCAAAACATGGCACAAATCCATGAAGTCACTGACAATTGGACTGAACCATGTTGGTAGTTGTCGAATATGTGGTTGGGACCCGGGAGATGATAGTAATCGATGGTTAGAGACCCTGAATTGACATGGCTCAAAACCGTTTGCAATGGCGCATGTGCATCCACTCTTTGTGTTCTCTCTAATTATAACCTTCTGAATTCCTCATAATCTCTATCTTTCTCCTTCTAAATTTATCTCACTGAATTATATTTCTCGAATCATATCTTCGCTCCCTAATCTTCTCCATTACTGCTAATACTTCTATTATTGCAATCACTCTTGGATTTGAATTGACAGTTGCGTCTCTGTGCTGATGGGGCATGGCAACCTGAACTGATGTACATACGTACGAAGTTCTGCGTTGTATCTGTCTGTCTGTCTGTCTATCTGATTATTATGTTACATAATTAATCTGTTGATTCACTTCAAAATTTTGTAAAAATATCTGTCACTAGAGATTGAAATGTTGATCTGAAAAGTGATCTTACATATAAATTTTAACTTCTTTGAGGATCTCGGTCAATAGGTTTTCAATCAAGAGGAAACAATTCATTAGTGACTTCGTATTTTCAGTGTTTATATAACTATTAGGACAGGGCTATGATTCAGTCAGTCATAAGCGAAGTAGAGTTTGACATATTTGTTCACCGGCTCAAGTTTCTACACAACATCAACATAACGATACGAAGGATATCATGTGAAGTCTCAGAATAATAGAAACCGTAATAGTATCAGTGGCATTAGGAAATATTACAGTTTCAAAAAGAAAATACTGGTTCATGCAGTAGAAGAAGTACATGGTAATTTTACGATAACTTTACCAAAGTTTAGTTACAGTTTCATTCAATTTACTAGATCTGTTGTTTCTTTTTATTTGATTAAAATCTTTCTTTCAGTTCGAAAATCACTAAAATATTATTAGATAATCCCACAGAAGAAATGTACATTTTAAAACCAAAAATATTTAATTCAGATGTTTTCAAGCTACACTTATCCACATCAGCTAAACAACTGGCCCGTTTATCACCATCAATAACTACAGAATCAGGTGAACAACATCATTCACATTTATTAATGTCAACATTATGTCATTATACTGATAATGATCTATTAGATGTGGATGAAATAGAAAGTAATTCATCAGGTATGTTATTGACAAATCGAAGTAGCAGTTTACATACTACAGAAGGAATAATAAAATTAAAACCAAAATGTAAATTATACCTTGGATTGAAATTTACTCCGTGTGCTATTGGTGAAGAGGAACATCAAGGATCGATTGTATTTTATTCAAATAAAGTATGTTGATGCTTTCTTTAAAAACTTTCGACACTTATATTACCTAATGAGAAATTATAGCTTCATCTGAGAGACCGGTTTTCTAATTATTATAACTTGTTCATTAATTGATCACTGTGTAATAAATAGTTTCATGTTTATTTAGTTTGTAGTACTAAAAGCATTCTTTCAATTTAATTGAGATGTGGTCATTAATCGAAGTACAACATCAAACCATAGTGCACAGTAAATACAGTTACATAGAGTAGAGTCTATAAGACAACCAAATCGACAGAATGCTGTCAATACTAAGTAAAAAGTTAACATGATTCTGGTCGCTACTAAGTGACCAATCATATGTAAATATTTCAGACCAATTAAAGAGCTCATTTGCGATCTTAGTAGTTCGCTGATAATGTCTCATACTCTGAAGCTATGTACCCAGATTCCAATCCTTTAAAGAGCTTCATATTTCTGAAGATTGCAAGTATACCTTGTTAATGAATTTCAGTAAACACGGAATCTAATGCCTAGGATTCGCTGTCGTTTCTTTCCAACTTCCTAACAGGTTATGCGCAATACAGAACTATTAATTTATACATAATTTATAAAATAAGCACATACTTGACGGCGAAATTATGAAAAAACAGGCTAATTTTAAACTTCCAGATTGGGATTCCTCCATTTTTAGCTGAATGTTACCAACAGATGTTACTGTATTTTGTTAACGGACTGAACATCACTCTGTGCTGTTTTAAGATGAAAATCCTAAGGACTTTGTTACTTTATTTAACACAACATTGATCTTTGTATCTCTCAAATAAATCCCAGCAAGTCTTACCGTTCTGCAACTAACAATTCGAAGATAAAAATACTGTGTGAGACGACTCAGAGCTGCTGATCACTTATTGTGTCTTTAAATATACATGTTCGCTATGCTAATAGGCCCAGTCATCATTTAACTAGAATATTAAAATAATGATTGATAGTAAACTCACCGATTCGCAAAGTATTTCTTTAATGATAACGTCAAGTTCCAGTGACATGTCATAAAAATATTTTTCATTCTTTGATAAGTAAAATTGTCCGCTTAAACAGCATGAAGAATTTTTATGTGTATACCGATTGTTACTTATCAGTGTCTTTCCACAACGCTTCATGTAATTATCTCATAGAAAAAAATTTGCTTTAATTTTGGCTATAACAAATTAGGCATTTGTCTGTTTCTTATTTCTTTGTGGATATTCCTTTATTTAAATTGTCAATGACATTTTCTTCATTATATATATGTAGCTAACAGAATGGTGTTTTAATTTGCATGGTAATGGTATAGCACCACAACCAAGAGATCCTATTAGTGTATCAGTTATGATTGGTTCAGCTACCACATTAATTGTACCAATTACAAATCCATTCAAACATGATGTGGTATTGGATATAAATTTATGTGAAACAACTTTATCTGGTCTATTGAAACATTTAGAAGATACACGTAATACTATACTTGACAGTCGAACAGACAAGAAGTCAAACAACTTGAATTCACTTAATAATTGTAACAATAAGAATAAAGAATTCAATGATCATTTAATGAAAACAAATGAATGCAATTGTGATGAAAATAATCAACCGTATAGTAAAAGTTTATCAATGAATCCAGTCAATGCAAATATTTATTCAGCTTTTCAACTTTTAATAAAAGAGAAGAGGTAAAAAAAACCGTTTGATTTTACTAGATTTATATACATCACGTTTACCACGATCATTTTCTGTATCAAATAAATTTTTATGCTACGATAATCCATTATATTTGGGCCGTTGGATGACTTAAATTAGACAACCATTTAAAATCTGGGAATACTAGACAGCTGTTTTGTTCTAAAATGAAATTCCTAAACAGCATACATCCTGTACTAGGACGAAGTATTTACCTGGCGATCCCAAGTTTTCATGTGGTAATGTAATCTATGTTAGGTCGTGATCCAAATAACATTCAGTAACCTTTATAAAACCGATAGTGTCAAACTATCATATAGTTTTGAATTCATCATTAAGCTTAAGTTTAACTAATGTGTCATAGAAGAAAGTTATAGTTACTAATTTAGATTAAGTGTTGAAGACGAGTGTACTATTCAAGCGGAACTTATTTTTGACTGTCACTGAAAAGTAGATTGGATTTTAATTTAGATCACCATTATCTGTTGAAATTTAAGTCAGTAAAGATTTCTATGATAGTATTTAAGGACTAGTGTAATCTGTAAGCAATGCTCTAGCTAAGAATCGAGTACAAGGTAAGGATGGCAGATCACTTGATGAAGTAGTGAAACTCCATCAGTTGAGGTGGTTGGGACATGTGTTACGAATGCCCAACTACCGACTGCCTCAACGAGCTATGTTTTGTGGTGCAGAGTAAGTTAGAAGAAATCTAGGGATGACCAAACCAAAACATGACACAAATCCATGAAGTCATTGACAAGTGAACTGAGTCATGTCGGTAGATGTAGACTACTCGGTTGGGGTCCGTTAGACGATAGTTACCGATGGTTAGAGACCTTGAATGACATGACTCAGAATCGTTTGAAATGGCGCAGGTGCATCCACTCTTTATGTTCTCTCAAATCCTAACCTTCTGGATCAGTCGACACCTCTACCTTTGTCTTTCTAAACGTATCTCACTGAAATCATCAGTCAATCATTGTTAGACCACCATTAGAAACCTGGAAGCACTGGAAGGCCGTTTCGTCCTGGTATAGGACTCATCAGCAGTGCACATCCACGACTCCTGCTCCTCGCAGGATTAGAACCCGGGACCTGCGGTACTGAGCGCGGACGCCTAACCATCCGACCACTGGGCCGGCATCCAACGGTGTCGATGTCTAACTCTGATTGATCTAGGGTGTAGGCAGTAACTACCAAAGACTACGTTGTAACTGAGTGACTGAATGTAAACTATTGATGAAGTAATATTCATTTTGTTTTCGTAGAAATGAGAAATATTTTGGTGTAAATTAATTTTTTGTAAATGTGATAGATTTTATAATTAGTTTTATAAAATATAAAATACTTAGTTTATGATCTATATTCACGTAAATAATAATCTTTCATTGATAAATTTACTGTAATGAAAGTTTTTTAACAACATTCTCATAACAATAAAATTGTAATCAAATAAATAGTGATGAATACATCATGAATAGTGGTGAGTAAAAAGGTGACGCAAATGATACGAAATGAATAAATCTGAAAAAAAGCACTAAAATTTCGTAACTGAATAATCAGGTAGTTACAGAATACTCGTAGATGAACTATGTCTAGAACTAACTTAGTTTGATTATAATTATTACCAGTAACTGACAATCGTTGAGGAAAACAAGATTTCCTTCAAAGCACTATTGTTAATTTAGAAATACGTAGTTAGGACGTTTTATTTGGTATTTACCAGTTCAATACAATACACTCAGATTTTTGGTCAAACGTTTTTCTTTAAGACATTCTAGAAAATTGAGTGTTACTTAAAAACGAGTGCAAATAGATCTGCACAGTGTATGATATGAATATCAATTATCGCACTTTCCTTAAAGCAAATAAAGCACTAACTTAGTCAATTTTCTTTTCAAAATATGCACTATTTTCAACCCTATTTGATTTTTGTCTCGCTATTCTAAAAATTTGATAGGTACCACTTACTTGAAATATCATATACATGTATTATTTTTACCGATGAAATGAATTTTGCGGATAAATTACCCGATCTCTAAATCCAAACTAACGAAATTAAAACATTAAGTATGAAACTGAAATAATGTGACTTTATGTCAGTTAGCTAAAAGATCACGTTGATATTTCGAAATGAACATATTTTGATCAGGGCAACACCTTTATAATTCATTTCATGACCACTGCAAGTGTATCATATCAATGAGATGAAATTTAGTTTCGAAAATTATTTTCCTCATACTGTAAGATTTTTGATTGGCTTAAAATTTTTAACTGAATAAGTTTATTATTGTGTCCATGCCTGTGGAAAATACCAAGCATTTTTAAAGATTACAGATACTCACTCTCTGTACAGCTGACCATCAGGATGCCTGACAAAATTTACGAAAAAATCCAAGTCCAATTAGTTTAAACTGATAACATTCAGAATCTCATAAAGTTGGGATGAATCTAAACATATATTAGTTTGAATTTTATCCAATAGTACGGCATAATTTACTGTGCAAAAGCTTGTATTATCTTGGATTCATTGCCTTTAGAACTCTTTGATACTATCATCAGTTTGTCGACTGTGTTTAGATATTTTCAATAAAATCCTAGCCTACCTTCACCACGTTCATTCCTTTCCATACATTTGATTAATAACGGCTACTTAATCTCATAGTTACTACTAGTTTAAGCATAAAATTCGATAAGTGACAAAATTTACTACTTTACACAAAATGTTTTTGTATGAAAATTCAATCCGACAAATCCGTTAGGTCGATATGTGATATTATTAAGATGTGTAGTTCATGTAAATGATCCGAGTGGTGTTACTGCGAGAAGACTGAGGCAGGCTCAATAGATTGTATTTGGCAAATTTACACTCTTAGTCAATTAAAAACGATAACATTACATTGAATACTCCATTTGCACACCATCTTTGAGTCCTGACTTCCAACGCTCCAGCCTTCCTCCATTCCTGCTGTTGCTTCCTTTACTTCCTGTCGGTGCCCTAAATCTTTCTTGCTTTTGCTCTATTTGCTTTCCGTTTTCCTCTTCTGACCGTAAGACATCTTCTTTCACGTCCATTCTTATACTACTTATATCGTTCGTATAAGTAGCACACACCACAACTGATATGTTCAGCTATTATCGACCCGTGATACATCGGTGGTTGAAGACAGGTGTTTTCAGCTACAGTAAATTCAAGAGATTATCTTGTATTTCGCATATGTATACTACCTGTTATTTAAACTCTTATTCTAGTTTGTATCCGATTCCCTGTCGAATGGTCTGATCTTTATATTTTACGAAGATATACTTCTTGAATAATTTCTTCGAACCCTAATCTTCTTCATTACCGCTAATACTTCTGCTACCTTTTCTACTATGGGATTTGAAATGACAATTGCATCTCTGTGTTAATGTGATATGATAAATTGAACTGATGTACGAGCGCATCAAGTTCTATGTTGTAGCCGATTGACTGACTGAGTATATACACACTAATAATGATAGTTCGATTAAATGAATCAATTAAAAAAAACTAATCATACCCAAGAACAATCAGTAACTCATTGTATCAAGTGAATTATTGGAGATCTTACTATTAAGGAAACACTAAACTTTACCATATAGAAATAAACTGTTCACTGCTATAAAGGGATTAGTGTTTTATTCTTTTTTTTTTATTCCCTAACAGAAATATACGCTTATCAAGTAAAACAGTTTTTGATATACCTATATCGTTTGCACCACTTGAAATGCGAGAATATGAAGCACTTTGCACAGTTATTATGCGTCAGTCAGATTCCGAAAAATGCAAATCATATAATTCAGCAACTTCATCTTCAGCTTCATCTATACGTTGGTTAATCCCAATTAAAGTAAGTTTAAATAAATGCAGATAAATTCTACACTTTTGATAAGTTTTTATCCACAACAAAATCAAGCACATTTCGACAAACGACAATTGTTTTCGACACTTATTGATGATTAGACGAAGAGGGAATATAGTATTTCGTCATGTATAGTTAACAATGAGCTATTTGAATCATTTCGATGAACACAAAATAATTACATACTGTTAGAATTGTGATAAACATCGTACGTATTGTTTAAATTAGCTGAATTATTCAATGTGCAATTTTATCCTGATTTTCTTTTTCTGAATCTGAATAGTAAATTACTCACTTAAAACATCTTTTATTGATTATTGAAAATAGTAATTAAATGGGTTTTAACATAAGCGTAAATAGGTATAAACAGTTGCTTGATTATATTCCGGGAATTATATAACGGATCTTTACAATTCATTAATCCAACCAAAATTAGTGCCTATTTTCTTTCAATCTTTTTCTTCATCCATCTTGGAGTAAAATAAATATCACATAAAAACTGAAAGCACAAATTTATGATCATTTTCAGTGCCATGGTTCCAGTTTATGTGAAATAATTTTTTTTCTTTCAAGTTTTTTGTTACCTTTTCAATCAGGAATTTTCACAAACTTTCATCATCAATTGATCTAATTTGTTCTTATCTTGTCACCTACAAATTTTCAAACATTTATTTCATTCTTACAATTAAAACACCTAATCAGAATGATTTCCTGCTTCTACATAGGGTCGAGCCAACAACCTAACATTATCGAGGAGAATAATATCTTCGAACTGTTGAGTGCGAATAAGATGGTCCACATATTCCAGTTCAGACAAATTGGGATACAGGGAAATTTTCAGTCAGCATGCTTAACCAATATCTTTCTCATGTGATATAAATTGCCTTTAAACTAGGCCTAACTAATTGTTGAATACATTTAAATATAATTTCATTCTTTTAATTTCTTTCTCTTTTTAAATAGGGTATTCCTGAAATGAAATCATTGTCATATCCATCTTCTAATGAATTTCATTTACCATATAATGTTTATCAAACTAACAAAAACACATCAATAATGATCAGTGGAACTGTACGATCGAAATCATATTTTATTATAACTTTACGGCTATTAAATGTATTTGCCAATATCGATCCTAATTTAACAGAACGTGAAAATATGAAAGATATTGAAATTCGTGTTGTACAATCTGAAGAAGATAAAAAACTATTTCATGAACAAATGTTCAGTAGTGATGAAACTACTGAATCTATTTTATTTAATCAATCTACACTATGGGATAAAATTCAAAAGAGTAATTTTGAATGGACATTGAAACCAATTATAAAGAAAGAAGATGAAAAATTAGCTAAATTAATTGATTTAGAGAAAGTTTTAACAAGATCATTAACTATGAAATTATTTCAAGTTAAAAAACATGATGATTTAGATATGATTGAAATTGATTTAGGCGTGATATTTTCACCGACACTTACATTCAAGTAAGTTCGCTTTCAATCAGTTGTAAAATAATTATAGATTGTTATGAACACAAAGAAAGAATATTTTGATGCATAAGATACAACATAAAAACTTGAATTCATCAATGGTAAACATGTGCTAGGCTTACAAACTATCAAATGAAAGTAATTAAAGTCTCATTAGCTTGCAGGTTATTTAAATGTTTCCAATTACTGATGATGAATTGAGTTCATTCTTTGAAGATAGAATTAATCTAGGCTAATCTTTTGCGTTAGCGTTATAAGGAAATTACAGTGCCACTTTTATTACTGTTTAGATAAATTTATGTTACTCTTAATGTCTTATTAGATTTTCCTGAAATACATTCGTGATACTTTCATCTTTGAATTACGTTCAAAGTGATTTTTAATGGTTAAATTTTGAGTCTGACAGAGTCTAGATATAAGAGTGATATAGGTGTCCGCAGATTCTTATTAATATGCTCTGACGACGGCTAATAACAGTATGGTCAGTTTCTGTTATTAGGTTGATCTATCAAATCTCTAAATCAAACAACCTTGTTATTGTAATGTTTGAAGACAAACTACGAATAAAATGAAAACGACATACATTCAGTCGATTAATGTGGTTAGAAATCTTTAACTTAGATCTCCACATCACAAACAATGAACCCGATTTGTTCGATACATGTCGGTTGGAATTAGCAACGAATAAATCATAGTCTATTTTAATCACGTATAGGGAAGTTCAGAGCCAAAAATATTGAGGTACTAATAGAGTCCCATGAAATATGCTCAAGTTTCAGTCTAAAAAACAACAGCAACTCTGGACTACATAAAAAGGGTAGATTGACTTGTTTTTGGTTATCTTAATTGAATCAGACTGAAGTTGATTATAGGATTTGATGATTCAATGTGAAGCATTTTATCTCACTGAAAACGCCTGTCGCTTCTCAACTTTAACTTGATTTGATTTCTTTTTCACTACTATTGTATTAACTGTTAACGAGTGTTTTGCTTCCATTGGTCAGTTTCAAACAATTTAATAACTTAATTAATAGGCAGAAAGTAGAGGATTTGGAAAAAATAACAACTAGAGTATCCAGTAGGTGGAAATAAATAATTACATTTCAATAGGAACAAATCAGATAGCACAAGTGGAAATATACATTTGATACTTTTAGTGAATGAAATAGCTAACAAATTACTTTTTAGTTAGTTAACTCAACTTTAAATATAACGAATGAATTTAATCTGATAAACTGTTGACTAACTTTAAATTAAAGTTAGTTATCGCTGACTTACACTTTTAAACTGTTATGATTCAAGTTTTGTTTAATCTTCAATATAACCATACACAAAATAACATTTTATTTTTTTTTAAAAAATAATTCTCTAACAATTACATTGTTCCTTTGACAATTAAGATGCAGCGCAGATCTGATGATACGAACGTGTCTCGGTGCAATTTGGAAATTTGGATTAATTTTCAAATCAAAAGATCCTCCAGTCGATGATGTAATTTATATTCCACACAACGGTATTGGTCGTTCAGTTAAAGTTCAATTAGATTTAACCAGTCAAACCAAGTAATTCAAATAATTTTTCAAAAATGAGATTAAGTAATAATAGAAATATTATTTCTTTAGAGCCAATGATAATATCAATATCGATTGTGAGTATAAATAGTTCACTTCTACAGTATAGACTTTTGCTTATCGGGATAAGATTAATAATAAGGAGATTGGTCTCATTAGAAAGAACAGCTTTGTTGTTGACAGTTTTCGCCAACTAGAACATACTTCCCGTAAGTTAGAGAATTGATGAAGATTCATAAAATCAATAAATTATTTGACAGACTAACAAGTTAGTTTTAGACTAATTATTCTCCAAGGAATGTTTTTTTAACAATGGCAAACATATTTTTACGAATAATTGAAGGCTACTTAGACTCCTATTCTAATAGAATTATAATGAAGTACATTGGCCTATATGAAGGATTCTTAGGTCGTGAGCTCAAATTATAAAAACACTATTCATGTATCATGTGAACATATGAATTTTTCTACAAACTTTTGACAAAATTATGTACTAAATAATTTAGTTATTCAATAAACAGTTCATATACACGCTAATTTTACTTTATTAATATTAGTGAACCAGTGAAATTCATTGCAAGTATATATCCTGCAAATCAAACAGAGTATAAGATTGAACCTAAAGAAGGAATTTTACCACCACTGAATAAAGATGCTCAAATGAAATTAAGAAATTCACCTCTAATAATAACATTCAAACCGAATTCATACGGCAAACCAATAATTGCTCAATTAATCATACAAGTAAGTTATATTTTGAAGGATGATAAATTGTTAAGACTTTCAAAATGTGGAGGATTAGATTACCAAACGAGTGAAATAAAAAAATCGACAAAAAATAAAAATATACAACCATGTAGAAACAGAAAAAAATACCAGAGAAAATAGAAGACTGTGAAAAAAAATCATTTATATTACACAACACATCAAACAAACACTATGCTCTGACTACTAATAACCGAGTTTATATCTATTCGTTCATAGATTTATGCGAGTGTCTGCAGACACGAACACCCATAGCTAACAACACAATAATTCAAGACAATTCAAAACTGACTCAGTTTCTCGTAATATATATATATATATTTCATACTGTCTTTCACATTCTTACAATTCTCCTTTCATCACATTCCTTACAGACGGCCAGAATGGAGTGGCACTATGAACTCGTAGGACACATCCCAGTTTACAAACCACCAAAGGGAGAACCACACCCATCAACATTCGCCAGACGGATGTTGAAAACAATCAATTCGAAATAACCTGTCACAATTAAAATAGGAAACAATACAAAATAAATTTTAATAATTTCTAATGACAATTCTTTTAATTCTAGACAGAACCAAAATTATATAAACGAACTCTTATCAGGCTAATAGTACAATCAATTTCAATTCATATGACACGCAATTAGTTCATCATCAATAGGAGTTCAAATGTGTACACTTACCGATTAACCGGCACCAATACCTGAAACTAACAGAAAAAAACACTGCATTAAAAATAGTCAGTGTAAAAGAAGAATCACCAACTCATAAGAGGTGTCATACTCATCACATAAACACTACTGATAAACATGGAAATACTAAGTAATAGCGTTTAATAATCAACTAACCTAGAAGTTTTGCACCAATTTCCACGAACACTGACCAAAACCTCCTAATAACAAACACGACCTGCTTCCCACCGCAAACACAGAAAACCTATTTCAATAAAATCATCATTACAATTATCGACTTACCACGAAAGCTCAGCAGCAGCTCCGTACATACTCATCACCATCAGTCGGCCGAGAAAGTACACACTACGCTCCTGGTCATCGTAACATTCACCTGTAGGCTTGTAGACGAGGCACCAACCATTCCTGAAAACAAAACGACCCCTGACCAATTCATCACCCATACCTCATCCCACTCGCATGTCTTCTCATCACCACAACCACTGAACATACACACACACACACACACACACAATAAACATAAGCTATGCTATCATACCAGATACCTAGCTAGGTGTACTCATGTCAGACGACAAATTAAGCCAAACCACAGAACCAACGATCTACAGGTCCCATTCACACACATAACTCTACTTGTCAGTAAAAATGTCCATGAAACACAAAGGCTTAGACAAGCACTAACTACACAAACCAGGTCGTTCCCTTACGCACAAATGAATTCGCCAATATACGAGTCTCTGGGTTAATGTAGGGTTGAACACTTCAATTACTACTCGTCTAAGCAAAACATCTACTTGCGTTGCCACCTCCTTAAGCAGACTAAATAACTCTTAGGTGGCTTGACTGTCAAGTGGCAAACGCCCTTCAGCTACTATCCAACTACAAGCATTATCGCAGCAACAAACTAAACACCTATCTAAATCCCCCTCTACCCCACCACCTAAACAAGTACCATAGGGAAAAACAAATCACATTACAGAAAACGTATCGATACACACTGAACACATAAGGCAAAAACCTATCCCTAATACCCAAATCAATCTACAGTAAATCTGTCGATACTGTACACGCAACGACAATTCAAACGCTTCACAGAAACCACACCGAATTGTGTTCAATCACCTTTTCTCCTCGATCATACATCTCAATCACAAACTCATCTAACTTTCCCAACACGTCAAACAAACACTATGCTCTGACTACTAATAACCGAGTTTATACCTATTCGTTCATAGATTTATGCGAGTGTCTGCAGACACGAACACCCATAGCTAACAACACAATAATTCAAGACAATTCAAAACTGACTCAGTTTCTCGTAATATATATATATATTTCATACTGTCTTTCACATTCTTACAATTCTCCTTTCATCACATTCCTTACAGACAGCCAGAATGGAGTGGCACTATGAACTCGTAGGACACATCCCAGTTTACAAACCACCAAAGGGAGAACCACACCCATCAACATTCGCCAGACGGATGTTGAAAACAATCAATTCGAAATAACCTGTCACAATTAAAATAGGAAACAATACAAAATAAATTTTAATAATTTCTAATGACAATTCTTTTAATTCTAGACAGAACCAAAATTATATAAACGAACTCTTATCAGGCTAATAGTACAATCAATTTCAATTCATATGACACGCAATTAGTTCATCATCAATAGGAGTTCAAATGTGTACACTTACCGATTAACCGGCACCAATACCTGAAACTAACAGAAAAAAACACTGCATTAAAAATAGTCAGTGTAAAAGAAGAATCACCAACTCATAAGAGGTGTCATACTCATCACATAAACACTACTGATAAACATGGAAATACTAAGTAATAGCGTTTAATAATCAACTAACCTAGAAGTTTTGCACCAATTTCCACGAACACTGACCAAAACCTCCTAATAACAAACACGACCTGCTTCCCACCGCAAACACAGAAAACCTATTTCAATAAAATCATCATTACAATTATCGACTTACCACGAAAGCTCAGCAGCAGCTCCGTACATACTCATCACCATCAGTCGGCCGAGAAAGTACACACTACGCTCCTGGTCATCGTAACATTCACCTGTAGGCTTGTAGACGAGGCACCAACCATTCCTGAAAACAAAACGACCCCTGACCAATTCATCACCCATACCTCATCCCACTCGCATGTCTTCTCATCACCACAACCACTGAACATACACACACACACACACACACAATAAACATAAGCTATGCTATCATACCAGATACCTAGCTAGGTGTACTCATGTCAGACGACAAATTAAGCCAAACCACAGAACCAACGATCTACAGGTCCCATTCACACACATAACTCTACTTGTCAGTAAAAATGTCCATGAAACACAAAGGCTTAGACAAGCACTAACTACACAAACCAGGTCGTTCCCTTACGCACAAATGAATTCGCCAATATACGAGTCTCTGGGTTAATGTAGGGTTGAACACTTCAATTACTACTCGTCTAAGCAAAACATCTACTTGCGTTGCCACCTCCTTAAGCAGACTAAATAACTCTTAGGTGGCTTGACTGTCAAGTGGCAAACGCCCTTCAGCTACTATCCAACTACAAGCATTATCGCAGCAACAAACTAAACACCTATCTAAATCCCCCTCTACCCCACCACCTAAACAAGTACCATAGGGAAAAACAAATCACATTACAGAAAACGTATCGATACACACTGAACACATAAGGCAAAAACCTATCCCTAATACCCAAATCAATCTACAGTAAATCTGTCGATACTGTACACGCAACGACAATTCAAACGCTTCACAGAAACCACACCGAATTGTGTTCAATCACCTTTTCTCCTCGATCATACATCTCAATCACAAACTCATCTAACTTTCCCAACACGTCAAACAAACACTATGCTCTGACTACTAATAACCGAGTTTATATCTATTCGTTCATAGATTTATGCGAGTGTCTGCAGACACGAACACCCATAGCTAACAACACAATAATTCAAGACAATTCAAAACTGACTCAGTTTCTCGTAATATATATATATATTTCATACTGTCTTTCACATTCTTACAATTCTCCTTTCATCACATTCCTTACAGACGGCCAGAATGGAGTGGCACTATGAACTCGTAGGACACATCCCAGTTTACAAACCACCAAAGGGAGAACCACACCCATCAACATTCGCCAGACGGATGTTGAAAACAATCAATTCGAAATAACCTGTCACAATTAAAATAGGAAACAATACAAAATAAATTTTAATAATTTCTAATGACAATTCTTTTAATTCTAGACAGAACCAAAATTATATAAACGAACTCTTATCAGGCTAATAGTACAATCAATTTCAATTCATATGACACGCAATTAGTTCATCATCAATAGGAGTTCAAATGTGTACACTTACCGATTAACCGGCACCAATACCTGAAACTAACAGAAAAAAACACTGCATTAAAAATAGTCAGTGTAAAAGAAGAATCACCAACTCATAAGAGGTGTCATACTCATCACATAAACACTACTGATAAACATGGAAATACTAAGTAATAGCGTTTAATAATCAACTAACCTAGAAG